TGCTGCAGGAACAGCAGCAGCAGCAGCAGCAATAATGTCTGCTTGGGTCTGAATTATTATTATTTATGTTGTCTTTTAATATATGCAGACACAACTCTACTTTACTAATTATTATTTATTTATTTATTTATTTATTTATTTATTTATTTATTTATTTATTATTAATTTGTCTATTATTATTTATTATTATTAGTTACTATTTACTATTATTATTATTAGTATTATTATTAATTATAGTACTTATTGTTAGTAATAATAATAATAATTATTATTATTAATAGTAGTAGTAGTAGCAGTATTAATTAATATTATTATTTTATTTATTATTATTTATTTATTTATAATTAAGAGTATTATTTATTAACAAAGAGGGAAAAAGGACGAAAAAAAGAAGAAATGTTACTAACCCTAATAATTCAATATAAATAAAATAAAAATATAAATATAAATTAAAAATAAATAAATAAATAAATAAATAAATAAATAAATAAATAAATTAATTAATTAATTAATTAATTATATTAATTAAATAAAGTGCTCCGAGTCCGGGAATTGAACCCGGGTCTTCCGCGTGACAGGCGGAAATACTAGCCACTATACTAACTCGGACTGGTAACCATGGCTAAACCCTAAACCCTAAACCCTAAACCCTAAACCCTAGGGAATTATTTATACGAACTAAAGGGAAGATTCTCCTTTAATTGTTTATTCTTTCTTCCTTTTCTTCCTTTTTGTTTTTATTTTCCTTTTTTCTCTTACCTGCATATTCCCTCTCTTGTTGCTAACACTGATTAGCTACTGGTGCTAGCTAGCTATAGCTAGCTAAATATGGCTGTTCTTTGTTATAGACCTACGTATATAGCTAGCTAGCTAGCTACGACTAACAGCTAGCTACGAGGAGAGAGGAGGTGGCTAGCTAGCTGTATGTGACTAGTCTGTCTGTTATGCTGCTAACAAGAAGAAAACCCCACAGTCTTGTATCTCCTGTTTTATTTAATAATAAAAAGAAATATTAATTGTTAATTAGCAACAAAATATAAATTAGAAGAATTTAATTTAATTTAAATCTAATTTATATTGAATTAAGATATTCTTATCGATACTTTCCATAAACCCTAAACCCTAAACCCTAGTCGCCAATCCCTAAACCCTAAACCCTCAAAACACTAAACCCTAAACCCTAAACCCTTAAAAATTAAATAATTAAGGTCCCACCGGGACTCGAACCCGGGTTACTGGATTCAAAGTCCAGGGTGCTAACCACTACACTATGGAACCGACGGCCGACGACGGTACTTTTTGAATTGCTCCTTTCTTAAGGAAGCAGCAGGAGGAGAAGGACCAGCAGCAGCAGCAGGAGTAGCAGATGCTGCTTCTGCTGCAGTAGAAAAAAATAACAATAAATATAAATAAAAAAAAAAGAAATAAACCCTAATATTTTTTTAACTCCTTATTTACCCAACAAACCCTAAAAAAGGGTTTAGGAAAAATTGCTCCGAGTCCGGGAATTGAACCCGGGTCTTCCGCGTGACAGGCGGAAATACTAGCCACTATACTAACTCGGACTGGTGACAACTAGTAAACCCTAAACCCTAAACCCTAAAATAAAAACCCTAGGGTTTAAAAAACCTTGAATTGTGTTGAAGATTTATGCCAAAGAGTGCTTAACCGTCAATTAGAGGGGCATAACAACCTCAAAGGAGCCTCGTGAGCGACTGTAAACCCTGAACCCTGAACCCTAAACCCTCGATTCTATCGCCTAAACCCTAGAAGGACGACATGGGTTATGCCTTATTATTATTCAAATAGCGGTTTAGGGTTTAGCAGAAAATAAGGGGGGGTTTGGGGTCGGTGTCTTTCATTGCTCGAAAGCTGTTCTAAACCCTAAACCCTAAACCCTTGGGTCCTCCGCGTCTATTGCCAACCACCCAGGAGGTGAGGAGTACAGCGTGGCGGAAATAAGCATTTAGTTAGGGTTTAGGGTTTAGCGCTTCCAAACCCTTAAAACCCTATCTATGGATCCAGATGCTGCATGGCTCCCTGTCCATGCCCAAATCAGGGTTTAGGGTTTAGTGCCTCCAAACCCTTAAAACCCAATCTTTGGATCCAGAAGCTGCATGAGTCCCATTTCAGGCCCAAGTAAGTGTTTAGGGTTTAGGGTTTAGGGTTTAGTGCCTCCAAACCCTTAAAACCCTATCTTTAGACCCTGATGCTGCATGAGTCCCTGTACATGACCAATCTACTGCATACACCTCATCTGCATGCCCCGGTAAATCGTATTTTAGCTTACGACTGCTTATATCCCAAACCTTTAATGTGCTGTCGCCACTACCTGCACGCCAAGCCCTAAACCCTAAACCGTAAACCCTAAATGTGCGAACACTAGGCTGAACACTACAAAAAAGAACATACGAGTGGCATGGGCAACTGCACCATGCGAGATGACTCGCTCTGAACCTTAATGCCTAAACCCTAAACCCTAAACCCTAAACCCTTCTTACCTGACAGCAAGAAGCGACTGTCTGCAGAGAAAGCGAGTTGATAGACTGGACCCACGTGGCCCCTCAACGTAGCCAAATACTGCCCAGTTGTCCCATTCCATAGCCTGACACACACAAACCCTAAACCCTAAACCCTAATCTCTAAACCCTGAAGAGACGAGGCAACTGGAAAGGGAATAAGTGCAAGTGAAGCAGATGACCCTAAACCCTAAACCCTAAACCCTAAAACCTCACCGAATAGACTTATCGAAAGAACCCGAAGCGATCGTCAGACCGTCCGGGGAAAAACAGACCTGCACGAACACCTCAAACACTAAACCCTAAACCCTCAACCTCCAGAGCAGGCATTCGTGCATACCCCACAGAAACCATCTAAATCCTAAACCCTAAACCCTAAACCCTTACACAGTTGATGAGTTTCTGGTGTCCGGTCATGCGGCCAATATCTTGAAAAGTTCCTTCTTTTTTTAATCGCCGCAACACCAAAGTTGAATCGTCAGACCCCGAGAGGATAGACTCATTCCCGCACTGCAAACACCAAATTAGGGTTTAGGGTTTAGGGTTTAGAGTTTAGGGTTTTGGGGTAGGACTGAAGCGTGAAAGGTTTGCGGTTTGGCCATGATGCGGAGCACACAAACATCGGACACACTAGGGTTTAGGGTTTAGGGTTTACGTTACCTCCTTAATGAAGGCATCGAAGTGTTTCTGTGCAGCCTCCTTCATGCCTGAGTCAACAGACAGCAGAGGCGTTGCAACATTAAACCCTTTTTGCTCACCAAACCCTAAACCCTAAACCCTAAAAAGTAAATCCTAAACCCTAAATCCTACTTGCAAAGGAAGAAAATCCCTTTGATTCGCCTCGAGGGCCGAAGGGGCCTCTCCGCAGCACCGCGTCGGAGTTGAGCGCCAGCGTGTTTACCCAGTGTGCATGCCCTGCAGCAGCAGCAGCAACAACAGCAGCAGCAGCAGCAGCAACAGCAGCAGCACAGGTAATGAGAAGTACCAAGGACGGAAGCGATTCGCTTGCATCAGCAGCATCATCAGCAACAGGGGCAAAAGCGGCAGCAGCAACAGGAGCAACGGCAGCAGCAATAAGAGCAGCAGCAACAGCAGCAGCAGCAGCAGCAGCAGTACCTTTGAGTTCCTTGACGAGGGCTCCTGTCTGAGGGTTCCAGACCTTTACTGTTGTGTCTCTAGAGGCGCTAAATAGATAGCCTGCAATCCATAGGAAAATAAGGGTTTACGATTAGGGTTTAGGGTTTACAATTAGGGTTTAGGGTTTACAGGTAGGGTTTAGGGTTTACAACTACGTAGCGGGATTAGGACTTTGAACTCGGCCTCAGCATAGCCCATGAACTACAGGTGCAGGGGCGCTTCGTGTTCAAGGGTTTAGCGTTTACAATTAGGGTTTACAATTAGGGTTTAGGGTTTAGGGTTTAGGGTTTTACCTTGAGGGCCACCAGACCACCGGAGGTTTGTTATTGGTTGTGTATGCAAAGATAACACGCGCAGCGCCTGCTGCTGCCCAGGCCGCCACAGCCGCACCGAGCAGTCCTGCATCCAACAAACCCTAAACCCTAAACCCTAAAACCTAAAACCTAAACCCCAGAAGAGCCTAAACCCTAGAAAACCCTAAACCCTAGGAAGAGAGCGCAGAACCACGCGCCTGAGTGCAGGCAAATGACCCGATTCATGCAAGCTGCTACTGCAACAGCAACAACAACAGCAGCAACAACAGCAGCAACAGCAGCAGCAGCAGCTCACTTTGCTGCCGCTGGCTAGCAAGAGACTGGGGAGAGGGAACCCTAGACGAGTCCTCCATGCAGATGAGAGGGGCGGCCGGCTCTTTGCTGCTGCTGCTGCCTTCTTGCCCTTCCGATTGCTGTTGCTGGTGCTGCTGCTACTTTTGCTGTTGCTGTTGTTTGCAGTGCTGCTGCTGCTGCTGTCTTCCTTGGCGCTGTCCTTGGCCGCTCCCTCTCCTGCTGCTGCCGCTTCTGCTGCGGCAGCAGCAGCAGCAGCTGCTGCTGCTGCCTCTGCTTCTGCTGCTGCTGCTGCTGCATCCTCCGCAGACACCAAGTGCAACGGCTGCCACACTAGACTTGTTACTGGCTGCTTGTGCCCTTTAAGGGGGAGCCCAGCGAGGGCCCCCGCCTCGGCGTCCCATATGCATACAGTTCCATCCTGCGCAAACCCTAAACCCTAAACCCTAAACCCTAGAGAACCCTAGGAAACCCTAAACCCTAAATCCTGCATTAGAGAACCTGCCGTCCGTCACTACCAGAGGCACACCAAAAACAGATGCTGAGTAGGAAGAAATGAACGCCTAGGGTTTAGGGTTTAGGGTTTAGGGTTTGTCGTACCATGCCTGCAGAGGCGAGGAGTTGGCCATGAGGGGCCCACGCAATACTCAATACCCAATTGGTGTGAGAGCGGAGGGTTTGGAGAGGGGTTTCCGTATCCAAGTCCCATAGGCGAACCTAAACCACAAACCCTAAACCCTAAACCCTAAACCCTAAACCCTAAACCCTAGGGGACCGTAAACCCCAGACCCTAGAGAAAAATATACCCGCAAAAGTAAGCAATACTCAATTATAAACCCCAAACCCTACATCTGCAAACCTGAACACGGCTCTAAACCCCAAACAATCGACAGCCCTAAACCCTAAACCCTAAACCCTAAACCCTAAACCCTAAACCCTAGCGAAACGTACTGTAGTGTCGCCTCCCCCTGTCGCCAATCGGCGACCTTCTGGACTAAATGATGCCGCAAGGATTGCCTCATCATGGCCTGCACAACGCCAAACCCTAAACCCTAAACCCTAAATCCATAAACCCTAAAGGGTAAGAAGCATGCCGAGGTGTGTGTAATATTAAGGGTCCGTGGCTGCGATGTGGATTGTTTGGAACCCTCTTTTAGGGTTTAGGGTTTAGGGTTTAGAGTTTACCGGGTAGGGCAGAGGAGCATCGAGTAACAGGAGAAACCCTAAATGCAGCAAGAGGGAGGAAATTAATCCTAAACACTGCTTCTGCTCCTTTGGCACCAACAGCAGCAAATGCAGCACCAAGTGTTTCTGTTATCTCTACGCTGCTGCTGCTGCTGTCGCTGCTGCTGCTGCTGCTGCTGTTGGATAGGGAGAGGGAGAAACGACGGTCCTCAAGAGCTGCTTTTTCCTCCTCATCTGTTGCTGCTCCTCGCAGCACCTGCAGCAGCAGCTGCTCCAGTTGCGACTTGGTTATGCTGCACACATATACACTCATTAAATCTAGGGTTTAGGGTTTAGGGTTTAGGGAGGAAGAAGAACGAGATCCAGAGGTTACACCACCAGAAACAATGCCCGACGCCTCCTATGGTTTAGGGTTTAGGGTTTAAGTTGAGGAGGGAAAAGACAGAGCCTTTCCACCCATCCAGATAGGGTCGGAGGGAAATTAGGGTTTAGGGTTTAGGGTTTAGGGTTTACGCAGAGGGTACGGAGAATTGGCATCCAACGGGTTGTTCTTTTTGATTATAAAATTGGCAAACAATTTCAATATCATCAATTGAATCTTCTGCCTTCCTTTTCTTCTGTGTTGCTGCTGCTGCAGCAGCAGCAGCAGATCCTGTTGCTGCTGGACCCGCCATCCTGCTGCTGCTGCTGCTGTTGTTTTTCGTCCTGCTCTGTCGGCAGTAATGCCGAGGTCACTGTTGCTGCTGCTGCTGCTGTTGTTGTTGCTGCTGCTGCTTGCAGCTTATGGAGGCTCCAGGCCTGCTGTTGCTGCTGCTGCTGCCAGCTGCTGCTGCAGCTGTCTTCCCCCGAAGAAACAGCGCAGAGATTCTACTGTTGCTGCGGCTGTTGCTGCAACAGCAGCAACTCCAGCAGCAGCAGCTGCTGCTAGGGGCGATGCTGCTGCTGTATTCCCCGCTGCAGCAGCTGCAGGGGAGAAAAGAACAATTAAATTAATAATTAAAGAAGCAAAAAAATAAATAATTAGCAGCAAGAAATAAAGAAGACAAAGAACAACAAACGAAGGGCCGCAGCCCCACGAATGGATCTAGGCGATCCCATGTAGTAAAGGCGGGCTAAGGGTTTAGGGTTTAGGGTTTAGTGTTTAGTGTTTAGTTTTTAGTTTTTAGGGTTAAGGGTTCAGGGTTTGGGGTTTTAGGGTTTAGGGTTTAGGGTTTAGGGTTCAATTTCTAGTCAGCGGTTTTTGACAATCGGGGCTTCGAGCCGATTGAGGAGACCGCCATTGAAATTTTCTACCTTTCCTTTTAGGGTTTAGGGTTTAGGGTTTAGGGTTTAGTGTTTCAATTCGAATTTTTTAGGGTTTAGGGTTTAGGGTTTGATACATATGGAAACCCCCTCTAACGGTTGGCTGCCACGGCTCGGATATCTGCACACTGTACTGCAGCAGACTCTGCCGGTACAGCAACAGCAGCAGCAGCAGCAGCAGCAGTTGGAGCGGTTGTAGAAACAATAACGAGAGCAGCAACAGCTGCAGCAGGGGCAACAGCAACAACAACAATAGCAGCAGCAGCAGCAACGCAGCAGCTGCAACAGCTACAGCAGAAGTGGCAACTCCGTCCGGCTTGAAACCCAGCAGCAGCAGGTCCACAGAAGCGTCAGCAAATCCAGCAGCAGCAGCAGCAGCAGGAAAAGCAGCAGCAAGAGCCTGTGTTGCACCCAGTACGACTGCAACAGCACCTGCTGCTACGGGAGCAGCAGCAATAGCAACAGCAGCAATAGCAACAAAAATAACAGCAGCAGCAGCAGTGATAACATCATCAGCAGCAGAATCAACAGCACCAGAATCAACAACAGTACCAGCAATAACAGCAACAGCAACAACAACAACAACAGCAGCAGCAACAGCAGCAGCAGCAGCAGCAGGAGAAGATGGAGGGTATAGAGTTTATAGAGGCATGCGAAGAAATATTTTTTATGAATAAACCTCCCGTGTCTCTTTGCTTCGGTTTGCTGCTGCCTGCTGCAGCAGCAACAGCAGCAATTCAGACATTTAATAAGGAGGCACCTTTATCTGCAGCAGTACCATCTGCTGCATTCTGGCCTCTACAGCAGCAACAGCAGCATCATCATCACCAGCAGCAGCAACTGCAGCAGCAGCAGCAGCAGCAGCAGCAAGTTCAGCAGCAAATTGGTGTATATTTACCTGAATGGCGTCGCTGTCTCTCCTTTCAACATCTAAAAAGATGCAAAACACTCAAATCGTCACAACAAGCACTCCTACTACTTGGACACTCACCTGTAAACCCTAAACCCTAAACCCTAAACCCTAAACACTAAACACTAAACCAAAATAAACACTTAACACTAAGCACTAAAAAGTGATATAACAAACACTTGTACTGGTTGGATACATAACTGTAAACCCTAAACCCTAATCCATGACACTGCATGCCCTCGTACTACTTGGATACTCTCCTGTAAACCCTAAACCCTAAACCCTAAACCCTAGACAGAGGAGGACGTTAAGTTTAATGGCATAACTATTCAATTGAACAGGCAACAAGGAAATCAAATAATGCAATTCCTTCCTGCTTCTGTTGCTGCTGCTGTTGCTGTTGCTGTTGCTGCTGCAGCGGCTGAGTGACGAGGCGCTGCAGCTTCTCCTCTCTGCTAGGCCATTTGAAGCATCGGCTGCACGGGCAGCAGCAGACGCAGCAGCAGCAGCAGGAGAAGCCTTTGCTGCTGCTGTGCATGCAGAAGCAGCAAAAGCAGGGAATGTTGCACTGGACCCTGCAGCAGCAACCCTAGAGGCAGCGGCAGCAGCAGCAGCAGAGACCGATACCTCCACAGCAGCAGAAGTACACCAAACAGCAGCAACAACAGCAGCAGAAACACAGGCGGATAACCCCTCAGCAGAAGCAGCACAGCCAGCAGCAGCAACAGCAGCAGCAACAGCAGCACCAGACACTGTAGAGAAGGTGAGGGAGGCAGGGGCTCCCCACACTTTGTGGATACGTCGGCTATGGGGCGATTTGCTGCTGCTGCTGCTGTCAGTTCCTGCTGTTGCACCGCAGCAGCAGCAGCAGCAGCAGCCATGGAGTGCCCTTTGGCCGTGTTTCTTTAACAAAAAGCGGCCATCTGCTGCTGCAGCAGCAGCAGCAGCAGCAGATGAGTCACTGCTGGAGACGATCGATCCCAGCGCATCAGAGAGGAATACTGCTGTTGCGCCGCTGCAGCTGTCGCAGCAGCAAAAGAAAATACATGCAGCGCTGCTGCAGCAAGCAGCTCAACGTACGCTACTCGCTGCTGCTGCTGTTGCCGCTGCTGCTGGTGCCATTGGTGTTGCTTCTGTTGCTAATGTTCCCACTGTTGTTGGTGCTGCTGTTGGTGCTGCTGATGCAGCTGTTGGTGGTGACACTACTGCTGCTGCTGCTGGTGTTACTGCTGCTGCTGCTTCTGCGTTTTTGTCTGTGTGCAGGCGGTTGCTGCCTGATAGTCTTTCACCGCTGCGAGGCGGCAATACCCTGTGGCAGCGGCAACGCCAGTAGCAGCAGCAGCAGCAGCAGCAAAAGTGGGAGCAGCAGCAGGAGCTGTGACAAGGGAAACAGCAGCAAAGATGCTTCCAGGAACGGTGTGGATAAGCAGACCACATCCATGCCCACTGCAGCAGCAGCAGCAGCAGGAGCAGCAACGGAGACTGAAGACGCGGCAGGCAACGGGTCCACAGCAGCAGCAGCAGCAGCAGAATGGACTGCTCCTTGTGGCTGCCCGATCATTGGCTGTGCTGCTGGCCCGCCCTGCAGCGAATTCCTTCCTAAGTGCAGCAGGAGCAGCAGCGGAGACGACAGCAGCAGCAGCAGCAGCGAAGAGTGCTTCCACCCACTGGAGCATCCCCTTCTCCTGGCAATAGATGCGGTTGGAGAACGCCTGCAGCAGCAGCAGCAGCACCAAGAGCAGCAGGACGAGCAGCAGCAGCAGCAGCAGGATGAGGAGGTAATATCTGCAGGTAATTATTATTGTCAAGGTAGCTGCGTATACATCGCAGAGGAGCCTTGTATAATGTGCTGCATGGGTCTGCTGCACTCTCGTGCTGCAGCAGTCTTCTATGCAGCAGCAGACTATACTATAGGGGGGATATCTGCTGCTGCACTACATAGAGATAGAAGACTTAATCATGCATTCAGAGCATTCCATGTCCTGCTGCACCAACAGCAGCAGCAGCAGAAGCAAGGGAAGCAGCAGCAGCAGCAGTAGCTGCTGCTGCAGTTGCTGCTGCTGCAACAATTTTGGATGAAGCTGAGTGGAGGAGGTCATCCAACCAACACAATTGCTAAACCCTAAACCCTAAACCCTAGAATCTTTTTGTAAGGATTAACCGTTCTGCATTGTTTAGCTGAAATTAAGACTCCTCAACACTACACTGCTAGGGTTTAGGGTTTAGGGTTTAGGGTTTTAGGGTTTAGAGTTTAGGGTTTCTGCATTGTTTCGGCGGCCACCGAGGCCATTTGCCCATTGGCAAAAATTCTCCCCCCTAAGGAGAATTGTCTTGGCTAGCTACTCTTTAGCTAGCCAGCTAGCCGTTGTGCCAGCTGCCTAGCTAGCTAGATAGCTAGCTATCTAGCTAGACATCTAGATATATAAATAGCTAGGTAACTAGCTAGCTGGCTAGCTAGCTAGATAGCTAGATAGGCAAATAGGCGCAGAACAGCGAAGCCACACTTCTGCTGCGGAGTCTGCGGTGTCTACGGAAGGGAGGCAGCAGCTAGCTAGCTCGGTAGCTAGCTAGCCAGCCAACCAGCTATCTAACTGGCTAGCCAACTAGATGCACATTTGCGGCTGCCAACCTAGCCAGCCAGCTAGCTCGCTAGTTTCCCACATGGCCAGCTACCTAGCTAACCAGCTACCCAACTACGAAGCTAGCCAGATTGCTAGCTAGCTAGCTAGTTAGCTAGCTAGTTAGCTACCTAGCCAGCTAGGAATGCCTCTGTTTGTATATCGGTGTGTTTAAGGGGTTGCGTTGGCCTTATTTGTCCCTTCGCCTCTGCTGCTGTTAGCCGCTGCAGCGCCCCCAGCAATTCCTCATATCTGCATGCACACAATAAATATATATTAACAGCTAGCTACCTAGCTAGGTAGGCAGCTAGCTAGGTAGGCAGCTAGCTAGCTAGACAGGGCAAACGGCCAGACGCGAGGCGGTGCGAGACAGCGATATGCAAGAGAAGAGCAGCAGCAGAGAGAGCAGCAACAGCAGCAGCAGGAACAGCCGCAGCAGCAGGGGCAGCGCCAACGCAGGACTAGCAACAGCCGCAGCAGCATCAGCATCATCAGCAGCACAAACAGCATCATCAGCAGCACAAACAGCAACAGCAGCAGCAGGAGCAGCAGCAGGAGCAGGAGCAGCAGCAGGAGCAATTACCCAGGAGAGAGTAACTTGAGTGTCTGTGGAGGTACGCGGTGTCTTCTTAGATCAAAAGAAATTTTTTTATTTTTTTTTATTTTTTTAAATTTAATTAATTCATCATTAGTAAATAAACAAACAGATAAACCTGCACGACGAGCCCTGCAACAGCAGCAGCAGCAGCAGCAGCAACAGCAGCAGCAGTAGAATCAACAGCAATAGGAAACATATGCACGCCACAGAAGCAGCAGCAGCAGAAGCAGCAACAGGGTACACAGGAACTGCAGCAACGGCAACACTCCCCACAGCAGCATCCACTGCAGCAGCAACACAACCAGCAGCAACACCAACCCCCAGCAGCATTAGCAACAGCAGCAACAGCAGCAGCAGCAGCAGGAGCAGCAGCTAACCTAGCACTTCTTCCTGCTCGATGTATATATGCTTGTGTATTCAATGGTGCATCATAATGAATAACTGTCTGTACACCGCAAATGTCTAATCCTCTTGCTGCTACATCTGAGCTAACTAATACTTGTATATTTCCTTCCCTGTATATATAAAAAAAAAGAAAAGAAAGGATACAAAATAGATGCATATATACACAAATATATTCCTTATAATAAGGAAGTAATGATAGCAGCAAAGAGCACCAGCAGCAGCAGTAAATAATACGACAAAAAGAAAGAGAAGAAAAGGAGAAAAATGAGCCCATTTGTCCTATGGGAACCTAAAACACTCAACAATTAGGGTTTAGGGTTTAGGGTTTAGGGTTTATGACGGACTTGAAGTTCTTCAATAGACGATGACGGTCGCGCTGAGAGAGACTCGCGCTAAACTCGCTTATGCCACGGGGATACCGGTTGCTGCTGCTGCTGCTACTGCTATTGTCATTGCTGCTGCTGCTGCTGCTGCTATCATCATTGCTGCTGCTGCTGTTGCTGCTATTATCATTGTTGTTGTTGCTGCTGCTGCTGTCTGGCGTGGCGTCCGCGTCAAATGGCGGAACGAATTCCATAAGCCTCCTGAAACGCAGCAGCAGCAGAAACAGCGGCAGAAACAGCAGCAGCAGCAGCAGCAGCAGCAGCAGGAAGGGAATAGACATGCAATGGAAGAAAATGGCTGTCTACTGCTGTTGTCGGTATGCTGCTTTAACTGGCTAAGGGTTTAGGGTTTAGGGTCTAGGGTTTAGGGTCCAGGGTTTGTACCTTTTATCAGAGAGGAAGTGCAACTGCAGCAACCGCGACAGCCGATGAGCTGCTGCTCGTGAGCCACAGAAAACCACTACTCGTAAACCTCCGTGTTTATTAGTATTCTTTTCTTCTTCTTTTGCTGCTGCTGCTGCTTCTGCTTCTGCTGCTGCTGCATTGGCAAGCTGATAAAGAAGAGCGATAAGAACAAGGGGTTTATTCTCCGGTCTACATAACACATACTTCTGCTGCAGCTGAGCGGGGGTTAAGGAGGAACCTGAAGGACACACAAAAGGTTCAGGGTTTAGGGTTTAGGGTTTAGGGTTTTGGAAGGGGGCGGAGCCCTAATTGAGTCGCTATCATGACACAAAACACACACGCACAAACCCTAAACCCTAAACCCTAAACCCTAATTACCCGTTGGTGAGCAGAAGAAGAAGAGGGGTTTATAGAGCTGCAGGTCATGCAATGCCTTTGGATTCCTTGTCATTGTTGCTGATACAACTGTGGCGAACACGCAATCTAAACCCTAAACCCTAAACCCTAAACCCTAAACCTCAAACCTCGAACCTTTATCAATGCCGGTATTTAAGGGAAAAAGTGGTTGCTTGGTATGAGGGTAGAATTTAGAACAACTTAGGGTTTAGGGTTTAGGGTTTAGGGTCTTACGGATCTTGCGGACAGGAGGGACCTGCATTAAAGAATTAAATTCTTCTCCTTTTCCTCCTTCTCCTCTTAATGTTGCCAATAGACGAGATACATCTAACCAGCCATGGTAGGACTGCAGAGGCAACAAACCACCCCGAGGGTTTAGGGTTTGGTAGAAACCTCCAACAGGAAACGAACAAACAGCGGCAGCAGCAGCAGCAGCAGCAACAGCAGCAACAATAGCAGCAACAACAGCAGCAGCAAACCTGTCTCAAGAGTCTGTCCGCTTCATCAAGAACCAGCCATTGAAGGGCCTCAAACGAAGGCCCCCGTCCTGCACACAAACCCTAAACCCTAAACCATAAACCCTAAACCCTACGCCTTCGAGTATAAGCCCTTGTCAGTAGGCCCTCAATTCCCCCTTTCCCCTGTCGCCAAAAAGCTAGGTAGTCATGCTGTAGCTAGCTAGCCAGCCAGCTAGCTAGCTAGCTAGCTAGCTGGTTTGTATGGAGGGGAGGGGTGAGTAGCCTACCCTTAATGCCCCTCTTCTTGCACTGTATGTACACCTGTGCTGCATCAACAAATCTACCAGGTGTACAGACAATAACATCTGCTGCTGCTTCTGCTGCTGCTGTCTCTGCTGCTGGATTGTGTCTCTTAGCAGCAGCAGTCTCCCCCGCCAAGCAGACCACCTTCAACGATCTAGGAACATCTCCCCTGGGATCGTCTCCTCCGGGATCGTCTCCTCCGGGATCGTCTCCCCCGGGATCGTCTCCCTCACGGTCCCGATCCCGATCCCGATCCCCAGCTATTAAGTTAAATACAAACCCCACCTGCAACGCCAACTCCCTTGTTGGTGTTAACACCACGCAGCGTAGCCGAGGGACTGCGCAGACACACAAACCCTAAACCCTAAACCCTAAACCCTAAAATGCGTGGATACCATCCATGAGCCCTAAGAGCTAAACCCTGAGCCCTAAACCCTAAACCCTAAACCCTAGAGGGCAATTACCGTCCTCTTACCCACGGATTTGAAGAGATGGCTGATGAGCGGCAAGGCATAGCAAAGAGTCTTTCCCTCCCCTACAAGACAAACAAAACCCTAAACCCTAAACCCTAAACCCTTAACTAGACCCTCAATTCATGCCCATAAATCTTAGATCCTATAAAGCCTAAGAAATAACATCTATCTGGCTGGCCTCCATTGTCAAGGGTTTAGGGTTTAGGGTTTACCTGTGGCTGCATGCACACAGACATCGCTAGCCTCAGGGGAGCCAAAGGGAAGTTCAAGGAGACGCAGCAAATGGGGTATGACGGCCAATTGAACTGCAGCAGCAGGAGCAGCAGCAGAAGCAGAAGCAGCAGCAGCAGTACAGTAGTGATGCTAACAACTGGAAGGTGCTGCAGCAGCAGCAGCAGCAGCAGCAGCGGGACGAGCTGCAGAGAGAGCTGTGCCTGGTGATATAGTCTCTGTGTGCCTCGGACTGTGCAGTGGGGTCAGTTAACCACGCTTTAGGGTTTAGGGTTTAGGGTTTAGGGTTTAAGGTTTACTGGGGAAGAATGTGCTCCCAATTAGCCTGCGGAAGGCAGCAGCAGCAGCAGGATGCAGCTGCTGCAGCAACGCAGCAGATGCTTCCTCGCTGTCTGCTGCTTCGTCGGGGACAAGGACGTATCGATCTGTCCAGTCGGGCAGCTTCAGCTGCTGCTGCTGCTGCTGCTGCTGTTGCTGTCGCTGCCGTTGTTGCCGTTGTTGCTGCTGTTGCTGCTCGACTTCCGCCTCGCTGCCTTCGTCTTCGTCCGCTGTGTGATTCTCCTGCTGGTCATCGTGCTGCTGCTCCTGCTGCTGCTCCTCTTCTTCTCCTTCTTCTTCTTGTTGTTTATGCTGCTGCTTGTGCACTTTGCGCTTCTTTTGCTGCTGCTCTGCAGCAATGCTGCTGCTGTCAACTCCATTTGCTGTTTTCCTCTGCCTTTTGGCCTTCTTCTCCTCCTCAGCAGCAGCAGGAGCAGTGCCTGCAGAATCTGCTGCTGCTGCTTCTGCTGCTGCTGTTGCTGCAGCAGCAGCAGCAAGAACCTTCTCTTTCTTAGACTTGGCTTTATTACCCCCTCTGTAGGCCCGCTCCATTTTCCTTCGTATCTTGAGGGGCCCCCCAAGGAGAGAGAGGGTTAGCTGCCTCCTTCTACAACAAATAAAACATTAAATTAAAACAATAATTAAAAAACCTAAAATATTCAATATATTTAATGCTTGGGTTTAGTGTTTAGGGTTTAGGGTTTAGGGTTTAGGGTTTTAGATCTTTCCTCGCCGGGCATGAGGGGGGCCCCCCAGGAGCGGGGCCCCTATCGGTGGGCTCTAAAGTTGTATATATGTTTCTTCTCTTTTCTTTTTTGTCATCTAATTTGAGTTTTTTTTATTTTATTTCCCCTTTCCTTTCTTTCCTTCTCTTTTTTATTCCTGTCCTTACCCTATTTCCTGCGGTGCCAGGCAAAGGCCCGACACTACCCACCAGGTATTTGTATAGGATAGGGGCCCCCAAGAACCTTCAGTACCCTCTTAGGGGCCCTACTTTCGTACCCTCTTCGAGGACTCTCTGTTGAGTACCCTCTTGGGGGCTCTGCTTCAGTACCCTCCTAGGGGCCCCTCTTTTCAATACCCTCTTGGGGGCCCTCCCTTTGGTACCCTTTTAGGGACCTCTTCTCCTTCCGGTACCTTGTTAGGGGTTCTTTCTTAATTTATTTATTAATATATTTAAAATGGTGCAGGAAGCAAAACCCCTGCAGCAAGAGGGTACTGAAGGGGCCCCCGAGGGCCCCCAAGAAGACCTTGGCGAGGCAGAGAAACTCTTCGATAGACAAATACGACTATGGGGACTAGAGGCACAAAAAAAGTACACACAAACACATGCATGCATGCATGCATGCATGCGGACCTATGCATGCATGCAATCAGCAGGATGCATGCAGACACATGCATACAGACATGTGCTTGCATGGATTCATGTATGCAGAGGCATTCAGGCAAACTCATGCATGCATGCAGGCAGACTTATGCATGCATGCATGCATACATGGATGCAGTTTGTTAGTGTATGTTTTGTGTCTCTCTTTTTCTGTTATTAAGTTCTTTCTTCTTCTTACCTTGTTCTTCTTATCTATTATCTCCATGCATGCATCCATACATGCGTTTTGGGGGCTTTTGCTGCTGTTGCTGTAGCTGGATGCATGCGTTTTGTAGTTGCTGCTGCTACAGCTGCATGCATGCGTTTTGGGGCTTTTGCTGCTGCTGCAGGCTAATGAGCTCCCGCGTTTTATTTATTGGGATGTCTGCTATTAATGTAGAGGCCAGCAAAGACCTCGCACTAGCAGGTACTGCTGCTGCTGCTGCTGCTGCTGCTGCTTTTGCTGCTTTTTGTTGCTTGTGTTGCTTATTTGCTGTTGGTTCGTCTAGTTGCTGCTTGCATGCTGCTGCTCTCCGTGCTGCTTCTGCTGCTGCTATCCCTTTTGCAGCTGCGCTTCCTGCTCTGCTATGCTGCTGCTGAGTTTAGGGTTTAGGGTTTAGGGTTTAGGGTTTGTGTATAGGTGTATCCCAAACAATCTGCGATAGCCGCCAATGGACAGAAGAAGAAGCAGAATACAATTTCCTTCCTGTCCTCGCGAACTCCATAGAACCTAACTGCACTGTACGTGTTGCTGCTGCTGCTGTTGCTGCTGCTGCTGCTGTTGCTGCTGCTGCTGCTAATGTTGTTGCTGGTGCTATTGCTGTTTCTAATGCTGTTGCTGCTACTGTTGCTGCTTGTATCATAGTGAGATGCTGTTGCCCCTTTTGCTGCTACCATTGCTGCTAACAGTGCTGCTGCTGCAGTTCCTGCTGCTACTGCTGCTGTGATGCTGCTGCTGCTGTTGTTGCTGCTGTCTTTAGTCGGAGCAGTTTCTAGGGTTTATGAATTTTAGGGTTTAGGGTTTAGGGTTTTGGCGCAGGTTGCTGAGGCGAGCAAGAAGGGTTTGGAGGCGATGGCTTCTTTTATTCCCTTTTCTTGTATTACTCTTGAGGAATTAGGGTTTAGCTCACAAACCCTAAACCCTCAAACCCCAAACCCTAAACTAGAGAAGGCAGTTAAGGGTTTTAGTTGTATCTGCGTGGCGGGAGAGATGTTTCCTCTGCACACTCTAGTACGCCTCAAACCCTAAACCCTAAACCCTAAGTAGTAGAAAATACACCTGAGGAGGCCTGGCCAGTTATCAGCGGATCAATATATCTCTGACCACTTTAGGGTTTAGGGTTTAGGTTTTGTCCTCTTGCCTCGCTTGTCTTTTGCTTCTCAGGAGCAGCTCTCCACCGCATGTCGCAAGGCGGGGGTTGTACGCATCTAAACCCTAAACCCTAAACCCTCAGCAGCGACAATGGACTGTCTTGCGAATCCAAACAATATGCAGGCTCTAGGATTTAGGGTTTACGGTTTAGGGTTTAGATGTGGCTGCTGTGATTCAGGGTTTAATCGTCTCGCAATGCTGCGGGTCCATCGCCTTCTTTGTGCAGGACTTCGGTACCTATGAAATGTGTGTACCTCTAAACCGTAAACCCTAATATGCAAACCCTGACACCTAAACCCTAAACCCTAAACCCTAAATTCTCAACAGCAGGTCCCCTGACATTCTTTCCGCTAGGCTGCAGGAGTACTGAGTATTCTTCGTGTGGGTTAGGGTTTAGGGTTTAGATAGGGTTGAGGGTTTTGCGTGGCGCAGAATACAGACAGACAACGGAGCAAAGTCAATGTTTTCTCATCCCCATCTTTTAGGCGTCTTGCAAGCCAAGCTGGTGAGCTAGGGTTTAGGGTTTAGGGTTTAGGGGTTTGAGGGTCTAGATTTGGTTGGACAAGCAACCTCTACGCTCCTTTAGCGAGTTGTTGAAGAATACTCAGTACTCCTGCAACCTAGCGGAAAGAATGTCAGGGGACCTGCTGTTGAGAATTTAGGGTTTAGGGTTTAGGGTTTAGGTGTCAGGGTTTGCATATTAGGGTTTACGGTTTAGAGGTACACACATTTCATAGGTACCGAAGTCCTGCACAAAGAGTTGCTTTAGGGATTAGGGTTTCAGGGACCTTTCATTGCTCCTGGGGCGAATTCAGGGTTTAGGGCAGGACTGTAGGGTTTAGGGTTTAGGGTCTAGTGGGTGGTGTTGTTGTTCAGGGAGAGTTAGACCCGAAGGTCAATCCTGCAATATTTGCAGTCCTCGGTGAGCATAGTGTACTAAGCATATTTGAGATTTAGGGTTTAGGGTTTGGATATTGGGGTTTAAGGTTTAGGGTTTAGGGTTTAGAAGTTAGGGTTTGGGGTTTAGTTTTGTTGTCTGCCGCAGCGTTGCTCCGCGTGGACGCAACGGCTGGGGTGCCTCGGCCGCCTAACGACACCTTTACCCCTGCAGCAGCAGTAGCAAGCAAGGGAGCAGCAGCAGCAGAATCAGAAGAAACTGAATCAGCAACAGAAGCAGCTACTAGATTAGCAGTAGAGAAGGTGCTTACTTCTGAGGGTTTGAAGGTGACGTCTGCTCTTCGCTTTGCTGCGAGGTGAATTGTGTGCATGCAATCTGCAGCATTATAATTATTAATTAATTATTCAAATTAATTAACCAATTAATTAATTAATTAATTACTATTTTATAATAACAATAATAATTATTGTTGTTGTGTGTGAGGGTTTGCAGGCAACTGGCAATAGGGTTTAACCAACAAGTAAACACCAGCGCAGCCATCGTGGGAGGCCTCCTGAGTAGGTCGAAAATTAGGGTTTAGGGTTCAGGGTATAGGGCATTTTGGTAAGGAAAAGAGCTACGTCATTCAACTCGCCTCATCACTGAACATTAGGCTCGGGGTTCATTGTTTAGGGGGGAACACGTACCCTGCTGTGGAGGCACGCACGCACGCTAGGGTTTAGGGTTATGGGTTTAGGGTTTGTGTGCAGCTCAAGAGGTTAGGAAGTATATAACGAGAGATCGGAAGGCAGTCCCCAATGTTGTTGTCTTTGATGCCTTCACCTCCTGCGCAGCTGTTGCCAGGGTCCCAGACTTTCCTAAACCCTAAACCCTAGAGCCTCAGCCACACACCCTCAACCCCTGCTCAACATATCAACCTGAGGCTCCAGCAGCAACTGCACCTGCTGCAACAGCGGTTGCTGCTGCTGCTCCTGCTGCTGCGGGGAGTGTGTTTGGTCCCGCTGTCTGGGGGTCGCCGTGGGCCGGCTGATAGAGCGATCTAGGGTTTAGGGCTTAGGCAACAGTGTTTTTGTTTCAAGACTGCCGTAAAGTCAGACGTGTTGCTCTCCTACTGAGGGAGGTCTTACGCCATATTTTAGGGTTTAGGGTTTGAGAGTATCATTGAGTGTTTGTTAACACCTCCGCACGAACTGCCGGTGGCTCGCTAGGGGCAGTCGATTGAGCATCGGGGTTTAGGGTTTAGGGCTTATGGCTTCAAGATTTGGGGTTATGGCAAAGGTTAGCATATCTTATTTTCAACGCAGTTGCTGTTTATCTTTCTTTAAACCCTAATCAACCATAGGACTAAACCCTAGCAGCCGGTTGCTACACGGAACCCTAAACCCTAGGCTAAAACACTCGACCCCGACAGCTAAACACCTGCCTTAACCTGAAAAATCCCTAAATCTACTTAGTTACTGTCTTTTAGCAAAATCTAGTGCTTAGTAGATGCAGTGCAACATCAACTGTTTAGGGTTTAGGGTTTAGGGTTTAGGGATTGCAGCGTCGTGGAGCGCGCGATCTCGCGTGCTTGTAGCAGCGGTTGCTGCTGTTGTGCACGTTGTCACCCCTTCAAGAGTTCATAAATGCACGAATATTTGTTTAATATTTATTGTTCTAAGTGAATATTAATGTTTAAATCGTCATTGCAAGCAGCAGCAGCTGGGGTGTATCTTCTCCATCTCGGATTCGCTGCGAAAGCAGCGGCGGTCCTCTCAGCCCCAGGCTGCGCTCATCCTGGGGATTAGGGTTTAGGGTTTAGGGTTTTAGAGGAGTTAAGGAGTCCAGAAGCTCTCAGGAGTTGTGTTTGAAGGGTTGATTATGGTTTACTAGGGTTTATTAGGGTTTTTTAGGGTTTGTTAGGGTTTCGGGTTTCCCTGCCTCGACCCGATTGCCGCCGCTGCTGCGGGCGCGTCTGTCGTCACCTCTTTTCTTTTTTCTTTTGCTTTTAAATTTGAATTTTTGTTTGTTGTCAATCCTTCTAAATAAACACAAGAAGGTAGCGGCAAATTCATTGCAGCAGACCCTTTCGCCCGCGCCCAGCCATGAGGCTCTTCTCAGCAGCAGCAGCAGCGCCGCTGCTGCTGCTGTGCTCTTCTTTCTCTTTTCCTGCCTTTGCAGCAAATCAAGGGGCTGACTTTGGAGGAAGCGACTTAACTCCTGATGCTCGTCTTGTTACAGACAAGAGAGATTGTAGGACTGCAAGGGCCCCCAGCAGTGAGACCGCTGCCACGCGGGGAGACACACAGCGACCTGATCAAAGACAGTGTTTGCCAGGAAGTGTTGTGCCACTTGAAGAATTGAAATGTTAACAGACTATGGTAGCTCTATACTATGTGTCTCAACCGAAACACTGCAAATGGTGTGTTACTGTGGTGCTCCTCAGTGGCGGCCCAACAGCGACCTGCAGCATCTTGCGCTCTCTACAGAGAAGGTTGAGGCAATACATTCCTCGCGTCTCCTTTCAGACTGGAACTTTGGATTATTTTCTTGCAGTGTATTGTATGGCTATGATTTTGGTCAGAGACCTGCAGATATCCACAGATGTATGCAGCTGCTTAGTGAAGGGGGGCCCCTTCCCTGCCGGCTATTGTCTACCGTATTGACTGCTTTTCCGCCACGCCACATCGACGGTGTTCAGCAATTATAAAAATCCACAAGTACCTTACGCTATAGTCGGCTTGCCGCACCTGTAAACCACTGTGTGAAGGTAAATGAGACGAAAGACCGATGTGGCATCTACCGACCTGTGCTCGTCCCCCCACCTCCTTGCTCTGTAGTGGCTGTGAATGAGTCCAGTGGCGCCTGCTATGTCTAGAGCATGCCGTATCTTCTTGGCACCTCGGCAACAACGTCACTGCCAGCGCCGTGTACACTACAACCGAGTTCTTAACTAATGATAGTCTTTTAACATTGCAGTACCGATTCCATGCCCTTGGTGCCGTAAGCCTCTCATGATGCCGGTTTCCCACAAACTGTGGCCATCTCATCCACAATGAGAAGGCCTCGAAAAGGCACGGCTCTCCACAAAGACCGGGAACTCACTGAGAGAAACCCACCACTTACTTTCCCCATGACTTTAACATGCACGTGAGCATTGCGGTGATAACTTACATTCATCTCGTTCTGGGCCCTCTTATGACAGGCCTCGTATATCAGCACTCGTCCGCTGGTATGTGGGTTTTTTTAGTAACAAGCAGTTAACAGTAGTACAGTAGCTGAGCAGTCTGTGTCCCGACTTCCCACGTCATTCCCGCGTCGCCACGTTGCTTGTCGCTGATGACACGTTGCACAATTGATGCGTCTGTATCCCCATTTTCCAGCCAGATAGGTCATTTTGCTGCTAAGTACAGCTAGGCGATTGCCCCAGGTGTCCCAGGAAGTGGTTAATGGCCCGTGCCGGTGCAAGCAGTACCCGTCACATATTCTGGCGCCCCCGCCTAGAGAGGAACGCATCACTTAATATCCTAATGACTTTAACATGCCTGTACCTCTTGTCAGGTGAATTGCACTTCGCCCACGTCACTATGCGGGGACACTGGAGCGAACTCACAGCAGCGTTCGATGGAACCGAATGGAAGGTCACTAATACTGGGCAAAAGTGCCGTCAAAGGGTGGCACTGAGCCTAAGCATACATTCGAGGGGAAAGGTACACCTCGCTGCTGAATACAGCACTAAACATTGTATGGCTAGTAGGAAACATCAACTTAAGCATGGATAAAGTGGTAAGCTACGACCATGTTCACGGCTAGCACTGCTACGCATAGGGCACTTTTTGGAAAACCATGATTCATGGCGGGCCGTCATGAGCAGATGTGGCCACCTGCTACTGCAGTTGGTTTATTGCCCTGTTCAAAGTCTACCTTATACTTTCTCCTTTCCAAAGGGAAGAAAACACGGGACGCCTGACTAAACAAAAGAGCCGCGTACAAGAAGGCCACTGCGGAGGTCAATCCCAGGCTCCACAAGAAAAGGTGCCGAAATGCACAAAATGTAGAGGTGAGTGAAGTCATCTGCTGGAACAACAAAAATAAGGCAAAGAATGAAGTGGTACCTGAATCACTCTGCGAGCATACATCTGGGAAAGAAAGAGCAGTGGCTTCGGGAGGTTTGGGGTAGGAGAAAGCCCTATAAGGCAGCAGATAGAAAGCGATGGTGGCACCTAGCAGAGGCAGAAGACCTAGGAGAAGATCGAGTGTCAACGAGAGAGCGAAGAAGAACCGACATGTCTCGGCGACCAACACAACCGCGTTTTTTTTGTTGTCTGCGGTTGTGCACTCGTCCATCTCTGTTTCTTCCTCCGTACACCCAAATTTAGACACGAGATCGGACGCAGTGTTGCTGTGCACGAGTGGAATCCCCTGAGGTTTCAGCGGACCGTGTAGAGACGTCTTCCCAGGAGGCCATCGGCGCTTGCTCACGGCTTTCCGAGTGCTCAAACCTAGTGCCGCCCGACTAACTGCCACAGAACAGGTCATCGGTGGTTCCGGCGGCTCTAAGCAATTATGTCCGCGTCTACCTGCCGGTCGGGGTGTGCTCATCAGCGAAATGCCGCCAATGCCGTCTTTGCCCACAGCGCCTGTTACCAGTAGGTTTTTTTCTCCAAGGTATTGATCTTGGTACAAAAGTAGGTTTTCGAATTCTCGGCACCAGAGGCTGAAAAAAGTCTGCGGGCAGGTTCACATTTTTAATTTCACGTGGAATGCAATTCATGAATCATAAGTAGCAGCCAGATAAGTGGCAGGGAGCTAATGTTCCGACTTGACTACCTCCTAAAGACCTTTCTTACCTCTCGCAAATGAGGCAACTCAACCATATCTTTGAATCTGTAGTGAAGAATAGGACTGTCAATCTGGTCCGATCCACTCTCTCCACGAATACTTCTCCCGCCACCAGGGATGGCAGGCCCGCCAACTTTGCTCGAATGCAAGGATCCGGAAAAACCTAGACACAATTTCCCCATTTTATTTCGAGATGGCTCAAAACCTCGCTTCAGGAAGTGTCCCTTACAACAAGGATATTGCCGGCCATCCGAAGTCACTGGTTCCTCAACTGGAAAGTCAAACAAATCCTCAGTACGCAGGCATGGAACCCTCTTTTCCCCTTCCAATGTGGGCGTCGGCAAAGCGCCTTTCAAGCCGTCCACCTGCGCCGTGTTGTCGCTCTGCGGAAATAGTGTACTAAAGGTAGCCCACTTTATACCAGCACCCATCTGGTCCACAGAGGGTGACTGCCTTGATTCACGTGGCAAATCATCACCTAGACCACATTCCGAAGAACAGGAACCAGTCTCAGATGTCATCTCATTTACTTTTGTTGGTTCTGATTTGCTCACCACAGTAACCGCAGCATACCTTGAGGCTACGACACGCTCAAACCAGTTGAAAATATGGCGTTCTCTTTGCGCAACCATCACATCATATTCTGCATAATTTGTATGAGGCTTGAGTGGCCACTGCCCGCGCTTCTTTAAGTCTCGAAAGGTGCATAAAACCTCCGGGTTCCGCTGCATATGCCCCTTTTGGTCTCCGACCGTTTCGGCCGAAGCCAAGCGCCGTTCTGAATGCGCACCTGTGAAGAGCAGTTGGAAGGCTTTACAACTAGCTTTGGCGTGAAGACGAGCAAGGGGAAGAGCCGCTTTGGGGTACGATCTGAGCCGAGATATAAACTTTTCTGGACGGAGGCCTCGATCTTCAAAATTTTGAGGGGAAACTGGGCCTTCGTGAGACACGACTAAAGGACTCTCTGGGGGCACAGTGAGCCCAACAGCTGGATTCTCCTGCTTGATCTTTTGCTGCATCGAGCTGCATGGAGTAACACAGGGCAGACGGTAAGCCTCTCTGTCGGTTCCCCAGCCCACATTGTCATTCCACCTTGGTATAGTAGCCTCTTTGAGAAAAACGCGATCAAAGTTAGGGGCACTTGCGTGGATTTCCGAGACAGCCTCCGATTCGTGTACTTCGCTTCCGTATACAAATTCAAGAATGCCAGGCAACCATGGATTCGCAGTATTATTTTCCAGGGCCATCAAAATGACTTGCGATTGACCACTTGCACGGGGACTCGTAGCAGATCCTTCCTCCAAATTACTTAGCCAGAGCTTTTCTTTGGATTCACCACTCACAACTGAGATGCTGTCGCTGCCTTGTGCATATTCGTGGGATGAACTAGAATCAACCCGCCCGCCACTGCTTCCGCGACGGGTGGAGCTAGATTTCCCTGGTACAGCACTGCGTCGCTCAACTGTAACCAGCTCCCCTGCCAAAACAGCGCCGCTCACATTAGAGGAAGAAGTCATAGACCTTTCAGGCAGTTGAAAACGACGCTTCCAGTGAGTCACCAGGCACCGTCTGCACTGCCGGTCTCCGTTTATGTCAAGGTGTTGACGATGAAGTTGTATGGCTCCTTGTAAGGAAGGACAGGGATGGAGCTTCCGGGGAACACTACCACAATAGGTAGCGCTGGTGTAGTACAAAGACCGTTGCACGGGTGGAACAAGGTATTCGCACCTTGCGTCCTGCTGGCATTGAGTACGAGTTTCCTTGTTTTCTATAGCTCTGCCTTCATTGTCTGGATGTGCCGGTGAACAGACGCTGTGAGGCTTGGGCTCCATTGGCTTTTCGCCTGCACAGCGAACATTCTGACCGAACATAGAGGACGATAGGGACTCAGAAGGATACGCACTTTCTGTGCTTTCTCTGGATGTCTCAAGTCCACGTTCACCATCAGGTTTTATCCGCCTTGTTCTGTTTCGTGGAAGTACATGGACCCGCGGAGTGCATAAACTTCCATGGTGCTGAGTGCTTCCCTCTGTAGAATTCATCAGCCGTGCAGAGGCGTGAGTTAGACAGTCAAGATATAGCAGAAATCCGCGCCGGCTTATGATAAATGCTTTCAACGCGGAAATCCACACAAAGCTTATAGTCCCCAAGCTCACAACAGGAATTAGTGTTGCCACGATAATGACCACAATTTGGATCATAAGTATGAAGCAACACACAACAGCAGCAGGTGGCAAAATGCACACTGCAGCGGCAAACGTTAGCAGAGTAGGGCTTTCTGGACAGAGGGTCCGGGTGATTAAGCGTCGTAACAAGTTCACAAAACGCAGGTCTTTAAGTGCAAGGAGCGTCGGTTGCAGAGCTTTTTCTCCTTCCCCATTTTCACGGTCCTCTAGAGCATGAATAAACTTAGCGGCCCTCCAGGCTGCCCAAATTGAAGTATTTTTAAAGTGGCAGCTACAACAAATTCCAAGAGCGACACTAGGCAACATAACAGAACAACAGGCCAGTACGGTTGCAGCAATGACCATTGGACCAAGACCCTCGAAAGTTCTCGCCGCAGCGGCAATGAAGACCGCCATAGTAAATCTGGAGAGATAGTCACAAACAGATAAGACAACTATAAATATTCCCAGAGCCAAGCGAGCGAACGTGCGCCCATTCCTTCCGAGATGATGCTGTCCTTGCCCCCATGCACATGTAGTGAAAGAACAACCGCTGTGTTCCACAGTGGGCGCCCCCACTCGTGAGTCCTCTTGAGGCACTCCGCCCGTGTCATCTTCGAATATTGGACTTCCTTTTTCTGATGGCTGAACGTCTGGAGTGGAAATGGCCCTTTTGTCTCTTGGGATCATTTGCGCTGTGTCACAAATTCACCACAAGCAGCTTCCCGGTCCAATTGTTGGATTTTGGTCGAATCGGGCAAACCAAAGCAGGTCTTACCGTCCAGCAGCTTTGCCAAGGCGGTGTGGTTGAATAAGTACGCGACATCTAATGGCGTTAGAGACCTCTGCATCACAAAATGACTCATCAGGTCTCACTGACGCATGCCAATTTGTGTCGGTGTAGAACTGCAACAGACGACATAAAATGCTCAACCGTACAGTTCCTTGGCATGCAGCCTCGTACGTATTCGTTACATGATATGGAAGGCTTACGAAATCACGATCTTCAATGCTGCCTCCATAGCTTAACAAAAGGTCAACAACTTGTTTGTGGCCCCGTCTGCAGGCCCAGTGAACAGGCGTCCATCCACTAGCATCCACACCACGAGGGTCAGCCTTCAGTTGCAAGAGAAACTCCACAGTATCTACGTGCCCAGCTTCAGTGGCATAGTGCAGTGGGGTCATGTAACCGAAACCTGGGCCCAGAATATCGAGAGAAGGGATTTTCTGGAGCAGTTGCTTGAGCAGCTCCGTCTGGCCACGTGAAGCCAAAATGTGCAGAATAGTGTTTCCCCGCTGCGCCCACCAAACCAAAGGCAAAATTTCCCATATTATTTACTTTGTAAAATATTTTCCTACTGGATTCTGCATTTCAAGTCTGATATGTGCGGGCGTCAAATAGACTAGGGCGCATGCATCTATCAGCGTAATTCACTGGCAATTCCGCAAGGTCTGACAGCGGTAGAGCTCGCATACCGCGTCGATCACTTCAGCATCCGCTCCTCCCTCGAGCAGGACCATCATCACGTCTATGTGCTTCTGAGACTTGGCTGACTTCAGCCTGAAACAAACGGACAACTCTGCAGTACTCAGAAATGACTGGCATCACCTTACTGGAAGTAAACTGGCCAAGTACCTCGCGCATATTTTGCTGAAAGCCTGTGTGACCAGCTCACGTAGCTATCATCAGTGGAGTCCAGCCACTGGAAGCCTCTAAAGGATCCACTGTCGCTTCATGCTGCACTCATAGAAATACAGGAGCAAGCATCAACAATGTTAACTAAGCTACGAGAGTGAATACCAAGGCGACCTGGGGACGAGGGAAAACCAGATAGTGATAGGTGTATGGGGAAGTAAAACACATACTTGCAGGAGGAGTTTTACTATTTCGGCGTGTCCGCTACTGGCGGCGCAATGCAAGGGATAGCGGTAACAATTCCCACTCGGTGCGAAGTTTGGGGTGGCTCCAGACATCAAGAGCTCCTCCACCTCTCTGACGTCTCCGGCCTCACAGGCTTTGCAAAGTTTAGCTGTTAGCATTGTAAATCGGCTGCAGTGCTCGGAGATTCGGGCCTTTCCGGCAAAATACAGCTTCCGCAATTTTTAGTGGTTACACGGCAAACACAGCATACACCTTTGAATGTCCTGGGAATCAAGCCACTTGATTTTTTCTGAACGTTTTCCTCCAGAGTTGGTGGGCATCTATATCTTTGTTGCCCTGTCGTGGGTCTCCTAGAGGGAATGCCCCGCCATTTCGTGGCGTGTTGTGCAGGTTGCGCGGGACCACTGGCAACGACACTGATAAGATGAGCAAAGGAAGTTTGAAGAGCTTGAGGACTAGGCCTGTAATCGCAGAGCTCGTACCATTAGACTGGCAGCGCAGTGGTGGATCCGTTGTTCCGTACCACCTCATGGTGTGCTTCCCCGGCCCCTCCGAAATTGAAAGCACCCAGTAAGGATCTTCCCAAATTCATTTCTGGATGTTAAACCACGTAAGTGACACAGTGAAGAAATTTGATCCACAAATGTTGTCCAGAGACTCTGGGAGGGAGCGTGGTCAATGTCGCACAAACCAGCATCCTAGGCAGGTTCTTGGAGGAAGAAGGAAGGGACAATTAGCGATAAGGCGCATATTCAGGGGACCACATACTCTGAAAATTCAAGCATTCCTTAGGATTATTGGTGTGAGTACATGTGTGAGAAGGTATTCTTTGAGCATGCGGGATGCTGTAAAGGGCCCACCCAGTGTCGGGCGTCCTAACTGTCCACTGAGGCACTTGCGCTGCTCGTTGGGTAGGCTTCAAGGCGTGCACTTGAGAATTAAGCAGATTATGCCGCTTCAAAGGAATAAACTTCCATAGTGAAGCATTATTCGTCTTTCCCAAATGTTTTCTCCATCAGGGCTCCGACTTATTTGAGGTTCTCGCCAGTGTGAGTAAACTCATCCATTTGATGCCATGCCTTGCATCCATCTTGCAAAGTAGAGGACTGAATACGATAATCCTATAAAGTTGCTGTGAAACGTCAGATTTCGCAGGAGCACTGGAAGGAATTTGAGGCAAGGGGGGCTACTCAAGGCCGTCAAGCTCAGGGCAAACAGAGTTGAGGAGGAGGAAGCGCAAACACGCAAATGTCAGGCAGGCGCTCTTCCTGAGCCAAGATCAAGCTGGATTGGGGCGAGTCGCGTAGTTAAGTGCATCTATCGACTTTCGTTTTGATTGGCTGCGAATCGCTGAATCTGTGGCAATTTCCTAGCAGTGCGCCGACTGCTTTTCTGGAACCCCTGTCCCACTAAATTGTTTTAACGATCAAATCCGGCTTGGAAATGGGACGTAGGACGGGTAGGGGGAGTAATTTTGCTTGAATTCGCCAAGCACGAACATCACGAGTCGATGTGTGCCCAGCCACTCAAGGCACTTCCCGTAGAGGAAGATGGAAAATGGAAGCCGGTAAGCTTTGTCCTCCCCTTTTTGCTTATTCCAAATTTGATTCTGCAGACCGAGGGTTCTGTGGAAGTCGCTTGTTTTCTTAACCAGTCACTTCAAAGGATATCTCAGCAGTTGGGTGTGTGGTGGTTGCCGTTATTCACAGGGATAAAGCAAAAGCAACAGCCGCAGCACTCCTTGAGGATGAGAGTTTCATTGTCAAGTATCCAGCGCTGGCGCGGGCTCTCAGAGAGTCTGTGGAGTCTGTGGCAGCTGACTGTGCCAGCGAAATCTGTAGCCGTGCTGCTCCGCAGAGTGCAACGAGGCAACAGGAAGCAGCTAGCATATCGCCACCAACCACAGAAATGCAACATGGAGCATCGTTGCTTGGAGGAACCTTTCCGGACTCTGCTGCAACTGCTTCCTGCACTACAGCAGACCGGAACGTACCTGCGTCATCGGACACTGGCACAACGCAGCTCCCCGTAGAGGCGCATCAGCTCTCCATGAAGTCCCCATCCACATCATTGACGCCGAATGGCGCTTCTAGTGTGGAGCAGCATGCTGTGCCACACTCAACAGCGCAGCCTAAGCAAGAGCCTACAGCGCATTCCACCCATGAGATGCCCTGCACAAATGGCATGCCACAGGACGTAGCGGGAGAAAAAGCAGCAGCTGTTACTGGGAATGCTGCATCCAGTACTAGTGGCGTGGAAAGGGCTATGGACCCTCCATTGCACTATATGAAACGGTGAATTTGATGAGCACAAGCATCTTGGGGAAGGGCGCGATACAATACCCAGATGGCTGTATGGGAGAGCGATTTCTGTGTTATGTTCAATTGTATGTGCAGGTTAGAGGAATTGCAACAAGGGTACATGCGTATTATGCAACAGCGGAGCTCCGTAGAACTACAGTACCATCTTCTTCACAGTACAGGACGTCCCCTCTTAGGCACCCGGCCCCCCGGCCCCCTGGCGCTGAGTTCGTCGCCATCATTTATGCTTCCGTGCACCTCAGCTCGTCCTCTAGGGCCTTTGAACGTGAACGAATGGCAGCAAGGCACCAGAGAACAGCAGCAACAGCAGCAGGCAATCATGCAGCTTCAGCGGGTCTCTCCCCCCATCGTCCCAATGCGTTTGCAGCGCACACCGGCAGAAAGCACCCCCACAGCACTGCTCCCGACTAGTGGAACAGAAAGTTTTGCCGACCGCACCGCGTCTCTGTACCAACTGCAGCAGCATTTGCACCAAGAAAAGCCACGCCCAACAGTGGATCCTGCAGTTTTATACGAGAAGACAGGTATGGACTTGGCTGTCCAGCACTTAAGAGACCAAGCAGAACGGATGCATGCGCAAAGCCGCGATATAACGAGAGTGATTATCCAGAAGAAGCAGCAAGCGGAACTTGAAGCCCTCAAAGAGAAGAATGCGCATCCTCTCCTGACGGAACTGACCTTGGAGCAGCAGCGTCTGATTGAAGAGCAGCTTCGATGCATAGATGAGGCAGGTTCAGTTCCTGGATTAACTGACCCGTAGCGTGGCAAGATATCAGTGGTCATTTGCGAGGGCAAGCTATCGACTGGAGTCACATAGTTGTGTGCAGCACTTCCTGTTGCTTTGCCGCAGGCACGCGGAGACATCGCACTGGCTCAAGCGGAAGCCGCTCGTATTGAACAGAGGAGCCGCGATGCTTTCTATCATGCAGCATACGCTGAGAAGTACGACCGTCGCTTCCAAAAATAAACACTCTAAGTTTGCTGTCGTCTGGATACAGCATGCGCTGTGTTAGTCTGACTTCAGTGATTGTTCATGCCTCCACTGTCGTGCTGCTATGTCTCCTTAACTGACTCAGTGCAGACCCCGAGTTGGTTAAACTGCACGCCGAGCGTATGAAGGAGATAACCGCCATTCAAGCGACAAGCCCGCTGCCAACTCAGTCCTTGACGACGCGTGCCGTGGCTGAGGGGCTTGCAGACCCTCTTGATGAAATGGCAGAGCGCAATGTAGATTTCAGAGAGGTACACAACAAGCGCACCACCAGCCACCCGTGCTGAAGCCACAACGTTTGGCCTATTCCTGCCGTCCCTATATTTGCTCGCTCTGGAAGTGTTTCGTGTGAATGATTGCTCTGGAGTCCATGCCTGCTCTGATCGCAGCAAAGATTATCAGCTGCGGCTGCTCAGCTTGCCGTCACTCGGATGCTGCGCAACTTGGGTTACAGACAGGATACAGAGGGCGGTGTACCTGTGCGCCGTGGGGATGGCCCTGCAGTATACAAATCTAAGTGGGTTACACTGTGGCTTCTGGACAAAACGCTCTCACTGGGAAGAAATATATGTCGCTTGGGAAGGGTCATCGTGCAGTAGCGCCTACACGGTGGACAACAATAGCAGCACGTGCCTCCCTAATTTGTTATCTAGTTGTAGGAGTTGCTGGACCTTCCGAGCTATTTAGAACAACGAAGCTAATTTATTGTTTCCCCTGCTTTTTAGCAAGGGCGCCAGCACAGCTGCGGTTTTGCGGGCTACACACGGCGTGGTTTTTCCAGGTTTCCCGGTATATATCCGGAACCCGAGTATGCAAATGCATTGCCTGTAAGTCAACAAGCTAGACGGGAGCTGTTCCTCAAAATGCAGCAAGAGGATGGAAAAGTGCGCTCTTTTGGGGATTTTGTAGAGGAGGCCAACAGGAAAGAGGCTGACAGCATACGGAGTCTGATGAGGGAAGAAGAACAGATGATGCAAGTACAAAGAGAAAGGCGAGAAGAAGATGACGAATGGGCCAGGATCTGCCTGAGCAAACTTCACTCAAAAAACATTGCCCTGCAGGAAGCTGACGAAGCACGTGCCGAGGTTGCAGAGGCCAAGAGGTCCTTGGAAGAATTGCGCAGAAGAGAAGAGCAGCTGATAGCAGAGCGGGACGCTATGAGTGAACTAGCCCGAAAGCGGGAGGAGGAGGCGGCTCGTGCAGTTGAAGAAGCAGAAAGGCAAGCAGCAGCAGCGGCAGCAGCAGCAGCAGCAGCAGCAGCAGCAGCGAGCAAAGCCCCAAGCCGTTCCGCAACTCTAACAGTGGAGGCAGCTGCGGGGTGTATTCCACGACGCGGCGCATCTGCACTCAGCCGATCACGCACAGTTTCGCTCTCACGAGCACCACATTCACCGTCCGAACGCCTTGACGGAACTCCTAGCAGAGCTCCAAGCAAGGAAGTTCTAGCGAATGATACAGCTCCCCGCCTGAACAACACAGTACAAGATTCCTTTGAGATTGCGGCTCCTAAACGGTTGCATGCGGCGATTCCTCAGCAAGGCAGGCGGAAAGGAGAACTTCTAAATAATGGTGAGAACGGGATGCACCCGCGGCTCAAACAAAGGTTCTGCATTGGTTAAGTTGAGTGTGATAGCATGCCTCAAATGCTGCGTTTTCAGAGGACGCAGTCTGCAGGTAACTTCCACTGCCTGCTATTGCGTGCTGTGTGCAGCATTAGCAGAGCGATTGCCGCCGTACAGATGCGAAGAATTCGTCTTCCTTTCCCCTCCTGTCGAAGCTACGCCTGCCAAACTAAAATTTTTGTATTCACAACTGAAGAAGGTTTTTGCTTCAGGAGAGGTGAGGTAGAGTTCGTCATTTTAGCTGAAGGGCCTGAAGGCGGGGCACGGCGTAATTTTACAGTGCTGCTCTTGTTTACTAATATTTTACTCCCGGTGTAGCTGCTGGTGTCGCAGAGCAGAAAGTAGATTTTTTCCCCTTCTGCACTCGAATCATCGAGCCTTCCTGCTGTTTATATATGTTGCGTCCACACCTGCAGTTGGGTAGCTCTGAGCACGTCCAGCTGGTGTACGATTTCGCAGTTGGCTGCTGTCAGGAATTCGTTCGAGATGATCCGGCTTCACAGGTATTTCTCTTAGATGTGATGCCGCTGTAAAGACTACGCGCGAGCGGGACATTACTCTGTGTATACTGATTGACTGTGCCTCCGACTGTGATGTGTGCAGGAATATGCAAACGCTCTTATACAGTCTCTACCTTACTATCCATACCAGATTGACATCCAGCGTGCAGGGATAATCGGCCTCCTCAACATTTTTGAATGTACTGAACCTTCAGAATTTGCAAGAAAAGGACCCTCTGCCGAGAACACTTGCCTTAACAACCGCTAAATTGAGTTCCCAACAACGGCTACTAGATTTTGTGTGTTAAACGTGACCACGTTAGACTGTGCGTGCCATCTGCTCAGCGTCCAAGTTCCAGGAGCATCTGGCACCTCCGATCTTTGAAACGCTGACCACCCTCATGGCTATAGATGACAAGGAGCTAAGATCAGACATCATTGCTGTGATGGCAGCTGTCATTCGTCCGAAGGCAAGCAATCCAGCCAGAGTTCCCAGTGATTCATCTGATTCCCTGCTCACTAATGGCGCCGTATTCTCCACTTATTCACAGGGTGTGCCTTCATTGATCGGTCGTTGCCAGGTGTAACTTTGGGTGGCTGCAGGTTGTCATCAATACTGATTTGGTGGACTTGATTCTGCAGCAGATAGATGAGTCATCAGATTGTGAGGTTGTCGCCTTCTGCATCCACATCCTGATTGTTGCCCGATCACCTCATCGCAAGAGCATGCAGTATTCCGTCTTTCTTAAGGCACTTGGGAAATGGAAGCATGAACCGATTGTGCTAACACGGTGCGTGCATGCTGCATGATGTTGCATGTGGAGGCCCATAGTACCTTCTTGCCACAACAGTCATTTAAGCCCTGTAACATGGTGACAAGCGCTCATGAACCATTGGAATATGCATAGAGAACGGTAACATTAATATGTGCGGCTCACCCGAGTGCTATGCAGGGCATGCCTAGCAATAGATGCTGCTGGCCAGAGGGCTCAGCTTGAGGGTTTGGCAGCACACGAGAGGAACAAGCAGGGGAGCTCAAGACTACGCCTAGAAGAAGGTAGGCAGGAGTGACCTAGACGCCCCTCTTCATACACTATTCTGTTGAGTAGCATGCGTGGGCTCTGTTTGACAGTCGTCCGTCAATGAATGACGAACGCTTCCATGGCAGGCTACGAACATCTGCGGAGACCACCTAGTTACTCCGAGGACGTTCAGCTATTCGAGTCCGTCACTCCCAAATGGATGCCCGATGATGCCAGCGACGTGGACAAGGTGAGAGCATCCACAGTCGCATTTGGTTCCATAGCACCAATAAGCCTCGGACAAAGCCCATTGCATTGTCATCCAGCTGTTGATCTCTACAGAACCGTTTAGAAGAGAACAGTGGTTTCTTCATTCTTCAATCGAGTGAACCTTGTGCCCTTTTGCGATTTTGTGCGCAAAGGTCGTAGAGGTCATGCAGCTGCACGCAAACAACCGGAAGCTCCAGGGTGCAGCCTGCCAAGCAATTGCTTCATTGGCTCGTGCCTCTCTCCGTCATTGCAAGCATGTGGCTCGAACTGTAATTCTGAAATATGCAGAGTCCCAGTGCTAGTCTCATAGTGGGGTGGACTTACTGTAGGCTGTTGCGATCTAGCCAGTGTATAGCAATTTCAATAATCCCCTTCATCGAGAACAGGCTTTCGCTGTGTACGTTGCAGGCCTTTCCACTCCTTCTGCTAGCGGCGTCAACTCATCCCGAGAGCCAGAGTGTCGCTAGTGGCTTCGCCAATACGATTGCAATTGTTGGAAAAGTGAACAGCTGCAAGTGTGTACATTCCGTAGAATACCTGATACAATACCCAGCCAGTTAGCATCAAACGAGCATTCATGAGGTGGTGCCGTTGAGGTGTCCACTGTTAATGCAGAAACTACCTGAAGCAAGAGATGATCGAGGAGGTGAACGCAGCCATACAGCGTCACCGTTGCGTCCCAGAGGTCATTAGCGCATGCTGCGCAGCACTGACCGTCCTTGAAGCTTTCTATTCTCCTCAGAGCGAAGTATGAACTATGGCTTCAGACCGTGTTTGCGGTACCTGTGCAGGAACACGTTAGGCAATCAGAGTCAAAGCACTCATGATGACCAATATGCAGCGCATACATCTAGTATAATCTGGTGTCGCGCATTTGCTTGTGCACCCAGATATTTGGTCGTCTGACACTCAACATCATTATCACCGCCCTCAAAGACAGCAAAGATGCATTCACCCTTTGCGCCAACGTGAATGAATTTATCGCAACCTTCAGCTATCACGTGAATTCCCTGGTTAGTCCGTTGCTGCAACTTCGGGAAGCCCCCTAACAGGAAGTTTTCCACGTTTCTGTGTCTCCAAGGTATTCAGATTGCAATGCATTCTCCTACCACGCGTGATTTCCTCACCAAAGATTCGTTGCTCAATTCACCTCTTTGTTTGCAACAAATGTTTACTGGCTTTGTTTTCCTGTTTGACGTTTGAATGCTGAGACAGGCTGACGCAAGGAAGAGAGTTGTCGAGCTAGGGGTAATTGAAGCGATTATCAAGAGCATGACCGCTTGCGCTAACGATGCTTTGGTCAGTCCTGGATTGATGTCAAGGCCTGCAGGTGTCTGCTGAAGTCAATTTTGGTATTTAGCGCTCGACGGATGATGTGTTTCGACCTCCCTACCCGTTGTCTGCCTACAGGTGTGCGCATACGGCTGCCGTGCGATATCACGCTTGGTTTACAAGGAGCCGGATAACTCGAAGATATACGCAGATCTAATGAAAGCAAGAGCAATGACAACTGTCCTCTTTGTTATGTTTAAACACTCCGCGGAATCCTGTCTTGCCGAAGACGCTCTTAGATGTACGGCAAACTGTGCGGCAAATGAAATGTGCGCAGCTGCCGTTCTTGAGCGCGGCGTGAACGTCATTTGCAAGGTGCGTTTTCCATTCAACTATTGCGTAAAGTGTTGAGAACAAACGGTTTTCAGGAATAGTGTCTAGGGCGTTTCTTGAGGGACGCAAATTCCTTTCTGAGTGCACTGTAACCGGCTGCAGGTCGTCTCTGCACATTCAGGCAACATCGAGGTTGTGGCACAGGGATGCCGTTGCCTTTGGTTGTTGTCCTCCCAACCTGGCCTTCAACAGATGGCTACAAATCGTGGCGTGTTACTGATTGAGCACGCTGCAACGAAATATTCTGCTACAGGTGACTCTAAACGCCTGGTGACGGAATTTCTGCTGCGCATATTGAAGGGTGAAGGTGTGGCTCGACAGAGCATTGACCCACTGTGGGACACTGGGCTGGACAGCCTTGGCCGAATCAACGAAGCACCTTCGCCTCGTGTAGATGTACCAGTAAGGAAAAGCCATCCGCATGACGGCGCTTCGCTGGCCAGACAGATGACTGCGGCTGCCAGCGTGCCTTTGAGCGCAAGGGGTGCAAACCCTCTTCATTTGTAAACAAGGTCAGGTTTAAGAGCGATTGAATGTAAATGTACGCACTCCAAGAGAATAATGACTCGATACAAGGGAACAGCTGAAAAGGGCAGACCGTCTGTTTCATGCCGAGCAAAAATCAGTAACTTTGAATTGCAGCGTTCCGGTGGCTTAAGAGAGTAGTCGAGAGCAGCCGGACTGCCTAGGAGTGTCCACATCTGCACATTTCCAGCTTCCGCTCACTGCGTACGTAGTATTATGTTTATTTTGTTTTTTATAGTGAAAGGGATGCATTTGCTGCCCCCTGGATTTACCTACAGCTGGACAGTAGTACTGACCTATTCAACAGCTCGCCTGTAACGAGCAGAGTCTTTCAGAGGCTATTCCATTGTCCAACAAGGCCTCTACTCCAGCTAGCTTCTGAAATGCCAAGCATGCAACCCCCTCCTACCTCAGCGGGAAGTGGTCGTCATTGGTGTGTTAGGTGAACGAGTTCTTACACGTTTCGTATGACACTTTACAAACAATAAAACCAACAGCACAGGTGCCATTTGAATGCTCTACGTGAGCACCACAGTCTCTATCAATCCCGCCGCTATCGTACTGATGCCTCCTACCAGCATCGACGGGCTGAGGACAGCCATAAAAGCCCGTTCTTCTGATGGCGAGCTATTGGCTTCCTTGAGTGATTCGCTAGCAGTAGTAGAAGCCTTCTGCGCCTCCCAAGAGGGACAAGCAAGAAGACGTGGCGAGACTTCTGTGGGCTGCAACCCTCTACAGAGGAGCGCCGCTGGCGGTATCTTCAAAGCAATGGAGTCTGGGAGTCCTCCCGCAAGCTGCTGAGCTTGTACAAAGTCCAGCCCTAGAACAAAGGTGTCGGGGAAAGCCTGAAATAATCGTCGCACAAACCGTAGGAATATATACCTCCTTGTGCATGCTTTTGAGCCCACAACCCTCAGCAGCAAATCGTCCAAAATGGCTGCTGCCTCTGGCGATGTAGTTGAAAGTCGAAGCCCTCCGTGGAGAGAGTGCAGAGGTAAAGCTGTCGATGCGCCTCTCTGTAAAAGGCCTCCAATTACAGATTCTTTTGGGCTGTCCGTTGTGCTGCTGCTGAATGCCAAGTTTGCAAACCGCCTCTTTTTTTGCGGGGCTGTATCTTGAGAACTGGTCTGCCGAGCTGCTAGAGGGTCTTTGAGTTTAACTATGATATCGAATTGGCGCCAGTCGGTCGCGAATAGACCCTTCCAAACTGCAGTCAACCGCGAGGAAGTTATGCAGATGGCACGTATTTTCATAAAGCAATCTCTGTAGAGAACAGCCCGCCCAAACACACATTAGCATACTGGCCTCAACGTGTGCGCTTAAACTGCACCATGAATGTAAGAGAAACAAGTGAGAATCCACGCTACTCTTCTCTCATGCTCATACCGGGCGCATCCCAAAAGGCGACGGAAGGATGCAGGATCAGGGCGTGGAAGTATAAAGCCATGTGGGTCTAGAACAGAGTGTACCGACGGGACATGACCGAAACTGCAGGCACAAAATGCACGTCCACATAAAAATTGCGGGAAGTTCCTATGCTCAACAAAGACACCAACAGCCTGGAAAGGAATGGGGAGAACGTCATATAGTGGCTGAGCATGCACCACTACTTATGCCCCTTTCGGCTATGTATGTCCCCAAGGAGGCAGTAGTCACGTTCGTCGGGATGCATGACAGCAAAACTTACTGCTCGAAAGAGACCTGCATGTGTTGCCGCTGTTCATCGGTCAGTGGGGCCGACGCATCAAACGAAACAAGCAGAGCATTGTGCTCCCAATCAAATGAACTGACAAAGTGAAGGAACCTGAGAATGTCGTTGGCAACCAAACAATAAAGAGTTTAAGCACACGTTCACAGATCTCAGTATGTTCCGGTACCGGCAAATGGTCGTTCCGTATAGCCACTTTCCTTGTGTCGCTCGCAAGTACCTCCCACACTGCCACTACTAAAAAGCACAAGAACCTGACGCCACCTCTATGGGCTTACCGCAAAAAAGCCACATGTGGGCTTTGTGGCTCACTACCATAGCCGGTCCTCATGTAGTCGACAAAAAGGAATGCCAAGACGTGTTCCACAAAATGGACCGCCCCCACAATAAGCTGCTTGCTCAGCCACGAAACCGTCAGTCTGACGGCACCTACATGCGAACAATGCAAAACAGTTTGCACGAATAAAGTGCAGCCCAAATGGTTCACAAACGAGTCATGCCAAGTTAACCAGGCATGCGGGCACTAGGCTGTTCAGCGTCTCAAAACGGTTTGCTTGAAAGAGGGACCCATTTGGTTGAAACCAAGGAGACGGTGTCGCATGCAGTGTAAACATCCAGCATGTATATTCCTCACCGGCGAAAGCTGTGTGCTTGAGAGCCAAGCTGTGAACCAGAGCGGCAGCTTGCGGTGCCCACCAAAGATTGCGGAGGTGCAATACTCTGTCCGTGTGGTATGGGTTTACAGCGGACAAGAGGGCTACGTCTTCTTGAAGCAATGTATCGCACACATGCTTAGCTATATTTTGTCCGTCGACTGAACCACCGGCAAATGTCAAAGTCTCCCGGCCGCTACTGGAAGGTCCACTCTGCGCCTTTCCAAGGTGCAGTCTGATTGGTTTTAGAGAGAAGTCGGTAAAGATGTTTGCCTCCTCCATGACTTCGTTGGGATGGAATATTTGGACGCGGAAAATGAACGACTGAAAGTGAATATCCAGAAAGGACTCCATGACGTTACTTGAAACAGAGTAGTCACGCAAGAGCTCCTCGCTGTGCAAGAAGAGAACCGCAGTGGACAAAGGACGATTAAAGCGCTACCACCAGTGCTCGAACCCACCTAAGCCACTCGATGAATGTGAGAAATGCCTTGCTCGTGGACATGACAAGCAAGACGAAGTGGTCCTGGGGGGTTGAGGAGGCTGGAAGGAGGCTGGAAATGGGCATTACAGTGATTTAAGACATGCTCGTGCAGATGCTACGTGCCACTATGAACACAACAATGCAGCAAACAAACTAATGACCTAGGTATAGTTTTGGTTGGCGTACTTCATGGCTACCAGAAATGCCGTCTTAAGTTTGCAAACGGCTTCTCGCTCCACAGGCCACTTGCCCGAGTCTTCAAACTGGACGACGACCGAGTGCACAGTTGAATCTGAGCCAAATAAAGCAGCCCTTAGTATAGCGCATGCCTGATCGCTGACCGCCTCCTGCTGTCGAGACTAGGGAGCGACCACCGGCAGCCTGAATGCGGGCAGTAAGACGCACTATTAATCAAAAAAACAAACAACAAAACGGGCGTTAGGAAAAGAAGTAAACGCACCGTTCGGCTTTTCGGGCTCCCAAATGTTTGAGGAGAAGACTTCTGTATGCCGTAATGCAGCGTCCGAATGCCAGACTTGCTTGATGGTCAGCGGAATGGAACTTAGGGCGCACAGTAAATTCTTCAGCTCTGCAAATGCCTGAGTGTGCAGCCAACACCGTACTCGTAAGCGGGAACGTCGCATATTGCGCAGGCCGTTCTAACTGCAGCCGTCAGACGCGAGTAAATGAATCAATGGCGAGGCTGGGGAGGTGCGCTACCGTGCAAAGTGCCAGCCGTCGGCCGCCCCTCACCCGTACAAGAGCCTTTTGCCTGTCGGATAGAGGGCCATTAGGACCCAAAGGGCTGCAATGGACGCTTAGCTGAAGCCTTTCTGCTTGTTTCTTAGAAGCTGTGGTTGTCTCAGTCTTGGTGCACGAGGCAGTGTATTGGCAAATGCCTCCTGCATGCCGCTGCAGGACATGCCGTACGATCTGTTCCGGGGGTGTCTGCGACATCGCAGTTTCTCCCGAAGCTCTGTCAAGTGCCTGAAGTCCTTCGAAGACCGCGAACTTCTCCCACAAGACGCAATGGAGCATGCGCCCATCTTGAAACCGCCTCACATCGCAGCGAGTACCCCAGAACTTCCTGTGCAGAAGGCATATGACTTATAGCAAACAGAAACTTCGATAAGCTGTAGGATACCACAGCACAGACGCCCATATTGTGAAACAACACAGTTACGAACGGAGTCGTTTTCTTCTCTAACTGAAAATGCCTAGACTACATTCATGTTGCACAAGCCCCGTTAGAAACACACCTGAAGCTGTCAGCAGCGACAGCCCGCGGGGTCTGTGAAGCAGCTTCCGTTGCATCCACCACAGAAGGGCCTCTGTCGAGAAGGCGGGCAGACGTCCTTCCATTCAAGGTGACACAGATCACCACTCCAATTGAAAAGATGTCGGCTGGGTTTCCTGAGTTTATCAGAAGCACCAGGCAACAATTGCCCATCGCAACCCTGTTGGGCCACGCTCACGGCAACAACGGGCCAAACATATGTGCCAAAGCGGAGGCAACAAAAAGCTTCTTCAGATAGGCAACAAAAAGCTTCTTCAGCTTGGCAGTTTCAAGCCCTCTGTATCATGCAGAGGCTGTACCTGATTATTCAACAGTCCCTAAATGAACCAGCCTGCAGTCTTACCGTCTCGTGGCACTGGAATCGCGGGTCCAGCAAGAGCGAAGCGGACGCGGAACGTCTGCATGCGGTCACCGAGGCCCCTGACGAGGATGCGCGCGACTGTCGCCGCCCCTAAGAACGCAGGAGCCATCTCCCATTTTGGGGGATCGAAGTGTGTGGGGTCGTCGCGAGCCAAAGGGTCTCCTTCCTCATAGGGGGGACCTTGACCCACGTGACGGCGGTCTGGGGTCGGGGCATCGTAGTTTGCCACGGGGATCGACGTCTCGAGGTCGTAGGCATGTCCGCGTGGAGGCAAGGACGGGATTTGCACCCACAAGTCCGACTTGAGTAGCAGGTGCTCCTGTTGCTCCCCAAACAGGAGCGGAAAAGGGTCTTCCAGCTTCTGCAACGCAGTCAGGCTGCTCCGCGCTTCGTGTTGCAGTTCCTGTACACGCATGCCAATCGTCGCAACAAACCCCTTCAAATTACATCTACACATCTACGGCTATCAAATCCCTTCATTCAATCTAATAGATGAGGTGGAGATATGCACGTCCAGGTTCAGTCCCAGGATCCCCACCAATACCTGGATATGCAGCTGCGCACGCCACAAGATGTTAAATGCCTTTTCGTTCGAGTCAAAGAGCAGAGCGTCTTCTACCAGCCCCACGCACAGTTCTCGACGGCCCCACTGCGGTGCATATGCAGCCTGTTCTGTTTCATTCGCACCAGAGAAGGCAGCAGCAGGACTGATGGTAGCAGCGGCATCAGCTGCGTCGTTACGCGCTGCGACAGCTGCCTCCAGGCGGGCACTTGCCTCCTCTGGCAGCTGGGTTTTGAGGCGGCCTGTCTCCTCCCCCATGCAATAGTAGTGACCCTGGAAATCCGCACCTCCAAGGAAAGAGAGCGCCAATCGGAACAGCTGCACAGGGGCAGCGACTCGGCACACGTCTCCCGAGGCCAGGCAGACGTGTGCCAGAACCAGAGACAGAGTAAAGCCGCAGCAGACGCCTGCCACGCAAAACGTACACTTCCCACGCAACAGTCCCCCTTGCACAAGCCAGCACATCCGAAGCCTCACAAGCAAACAGCATTAGACGGACTGCCCCGCTTCGAACTATCACTGGGAAGTTTTCGGCAGAAAATGAACCTGTCCAGAGTCCAAGGGAGGCGCAACGAAGCCGCGCTTGCCTGTAATAGGGTTGCACGCAGAGGACCCCGAATCAAGAAGAGATCGCCGCCTAGCCCAAGCCTTGAGCAGGCGAACAGCACTGCCGAAGCCGGCGAACTCAGCGGCACATTTGCGGAGAATGTCCGCGTGCTTGATGAACCTGCGAGGATGTGGAAGGAGGAGACAGTTGCAGGCGAGCCACTAACGAGCCTAGAAGAGCATGCAAAAGATCCGCTGCATATGGGTACTTCCTCAGGATTCTAGTATAAATAGGGAACACATCCAAAAGAATGTGATTCGCAGAAGCGGCAGCACTCGTAGCAGCAGCAGCAAGCGCAGCCACAACAGCATCTAGTTCATGATGAAATGTGGCCTGCTAGTATAAGCCTTCGTGGGCTTTTCGCAGCAGCGCTTCTCATGGTGCAACAGAAGCAACACTACGTGGCTAAGAGGGACCCACCGGCAGTCCTCTAGAACGAGACTGTTGTAGTAGGGTGTGGGAGGCAGAGCCTTGACTTGGGCATCTGTCATAGGTGTCTCCTTTGCATCCGCCGCTTCTTGGAGGCCCTTGGTGGCAGTTGTTCTGCGCCGCACTGCATTTGCGTCGGGCCTCAAGAATTTTTCCTTAAAAACTCCCCCGCAGCAGCTGACGAGCAGACGCACCTCCCAGTTTTGAAGCTGACGACAGAGCCGCTGCTGGGTCCGCCGGTCGTTTGCATCTGTATCTTCTACCACTGCAACCTCCTTCGCTCTGCTTTCGAGGGGCACGAACTTGAAGCAAAGGATCGTCTTCAGCCCATCCAGGCGCCACGGCCGTACTTCCGCCTCCACCTTCAAACAGGCCCGCTTGCATGTGCTCGCCCAGGCCCACTGCTGCTGATGCTGCTGCTTAGCTACGGCCTCTTGCAGTTGGACGTGCAGAAGGTCCACGTATGCCGCGCGCTTTGCTAGGTACCTGTGCGTACACCACAAATGGCCCGCCAGCCCAACTGAAGTGGCAGCCCTTGCACGCACGCATTCAAGCATGGCGAACCGTCTGTATTCAGGACCTTCAGGGAAATCTCCACATGTCTGTCTCACCTGTAGTTCAAGTAGTCACGTTTGTCAATTGCGTCTTCGGGGAGTTCTAAAGCCACGTCCAAGTTGCGCGCAAAGGCAGGAGGCCCCATGCCCGCCCCACAGCTGCCTACGACTTCAACTCTAGAGGGTAGTGGGGCTGTCCACAAGGACGGGGTAGCTTTGGCGTTACCAGGGACTTGGCTGAATATTGCGACGGCCCTCGCAGATGTAAATGTTTCCTGTCCGCTCGCTGCAGCTGTAGCAGCAGCAGCAGCATCAAGCGCGATAGACACGGGCTGGAATTCGTTCTGAAAAAAATTCCTCAAAAAAGAGACGAAGTCAAAGAGAGCCGCAGAAGAGGAACCCTCAACAGCCGCTGAAGGTGGAGATACATACAGGCCACGGTCAAGCTCCTTCAATTGGAGCTCCAAAAGACTCGTAGGACCCGACGACTCTTTACCAAAAGCGAGTGGCCTTTGGGGACCCATTTTCTCGTTCCCCCCCCGCTTTATCTTCCGAAGGCCATCCATTTTCAGGCTGGAAGACAGATAGGGACCGCTGCCACGCAGTGGCTTTGTCCCCAAACGGCAGGTCCCCTGCAGAGAGGAGATGACGGCCCGTCCTTCAACAGGACCTCACTCCCAGTTGATCAGTAGTAGAAATAGATTTGCCTAAATATGAAGGATTGTGAAGCTTAACAATCCATGGCCTTCTATTTCCATTTCCATCTCGAGGGCGCTTTCGGCCCTGTATGGGGCACATGCTCTTGCAGCACAGTTGCCCTAACGACAACCTTATAAAAGCTTCTAAAAGCAAATTGAGCCAATAAAACACTAGCCACTTCCTAGCGAGGTTAGACAAAGAGTAGGACCAACTCGTATGTGGGCCGGGAGCCCCATTCACTGCATGCTGGAATCGAGGGGCCCTCTCTCGCCAGTTGCAGGCAAGAAACCACGGTAACTATTGGTCTTCTTCATCAGCTTTCATGCATTCAACAGTTACAAAATGCAACTAATATTATATTTTGAAGTGTTCAAGGGAGAAGGCAGTTTTTGATCCCAGGTGTACCCGTCGTTGCAATCCCCACAGCGCGTGCAGGAGCATTGTGAGCAGCTATGGCATAATCCGTTCGATGCAAGGAAACCCGTCCAAAGTTAGACCATAAGTGCGTTCTCAGTCTTAGTAGGCAACATGTGCACACACTCAAATAGTCGAATATTGCTTATAGTGTTCATCCTCGCAGAAAAGGCGGCTTGCCAGCTCAACCGGGCCGTCTCTGCATACATGCAAGCAAACCCACGAGGGGATGTCTTACAAAATGAGTTACAGCAAGACGTGTTGCAATTAATTCCATGCTGACCACTCTTTCGCGGCACCAGCGTCTAGGACGGCTGTGCGCCAGATTCACCGAAGGTGTAGCCGTTGTTAGTTGACATTGCCTTCCAAATACTTGATTAGAATTCAATAATCATTAGATAAGGTTGAGGACATCCACTACGTCAGAGGTCTTATGGTAGTTACATAACGAAGTGCGGTGGCAAAACTCATCTTCAAAGAGTTAGTATATGTCCTGCTGATTATATTTGCCTCCGCTTGCCGCATTTGCCACTTTCGTCCCAGACGCTGAGGTGCCTCGCCAGGTATTGACGAACTGAAACGCGTAGGATCAACGGCCTAGAGAATCATCACCTTATCCTATTACAGTAATCGTGCAAACAATTGTTCTGAGCTTTTTTCGTTGAGGTTTCCGTGTGTTGCCTCATCTGTAGTGCTGTTAACTCATGAAGATGAACACGGATGGTCGGTAATTGATAACCTAACTTGTTCTTGGAGAAGCACAAAGAGTTAGAAAGTAATGAGTTGCAAAACCAAGCATTTTACCCTCCTCAGGCATAGGGAGAAAGCTCGAGCAGTAGCCTGGAGAGTAGCCCCATGCGAAGTGCTCAGCTCTGAACAAAGCGGCTTGAACTGAAGTTCAGCGCGGCAAATGGTATTGCAACTCCAAAACTTGCCATCAAGATCTGCAACCATGGGTTGGAGGTACTCTTGAGGTATCCAAGCCACGCATTCTACGTTTCGACGCTTAGCCTCGTCATGAAAGCTGCCCGCGCTGGGAACAGAAAACAAGCAAGGTTGACCGAACTTGAACATCCCCATGAGCCCTTGGGCGCGATCTTGTACGAAGGCATTCTTATACCACCGAAGTGAGTAGACAAGGTTTGTTCGAACTCGAAATCGCTTAGAACTGAAGCTGAGGGGCCCTCAAGGAGATGAACTGTGAGTAGATGCCCTTGAGGGCCCATCTGCTTCAGTTCTCAGCGATTTCGAGTTCGAACAAACCTTGTTTACTAAGTTGCAGCAACTAAAATGTCCTGCTCCTGAGGTTTTGTTTGCCAGTGGTTGCTCAGCTTGACGGCTAGGGCAGTCCATGACATACACAGCGTTTGATGCATTACGCTATAAGCTGAAGCCACATTCAGTATTTCGAGCATAAGCAATGACATACTGCAGATGAAACGCCGATCCTGGGCGTTTTACGAGGACGCCTGTGAGCTACAGGGGAGGCAACATACTTAAGATAAGTTCCCTAGAAGCAGGCGACCTCCTTTCATTACCTTTACGTATCCTGACGCCAGCGGCTTATGCAGCTGAACCTGCATGGGTGGAGGTGGCCTGCCATGAGTTGCAATGCAGCACAGCTTCTCGAGGTGTAAAATGGCCCCACATAAATACACAGACAAAATGCCTCCTTGGCAGTATGTACGAACACTGTAGATGGACCCTTAGTATTTTTTATTCAGTACAGCTGTGCTTGTGCTAGCCACGGGTTCACGCGCCCACCTCTGATACAGTTGCCAACATCGCAAAAGGCATTGTACACAGCGTCAACACGCATATAGACCTACTAGCCCGAGCTCGCCTTTTGGAGCCGCTTGATCGGCGCACTGTAAAAGACATTTTCTGAAGGTTGAAGACTTTAAAATGCCGATAATAAGGAGTAAAGAAGCCATGCTTTCAACCTCATGGCACCAGCAATCCAACCCAAAGGAAGCGCTACAGTTGCGACAGGAAGCGAGCTGCTCTGCATAATCGTAAACCTTCACTTAATGGCATTATTTCTCAGTTAAAATATATTCATTATTCATTTTGGCCCAGTGTACGTCGAGGACTGCAATCCCTGCGGATGGCATGCTCACACGCCAGACACACCACAGCCGCTTCCCACCTTCGGGCAACATGAGACCGCGTCTTTGGGTGCATGCTGGGCAGCTTATACGATTTATTATGCCTGTTAGGTTGTTTATACACCTTTTTGATTTTTTAATGGGGAAAATTTGGGCGAGCACATGGAAGAACGTACGTTTGGCCGTGCTTCACCACTACGTCGGCGGCAGGTTGAATACGCAATTCGGCAACCTCTCGAACTTGGGGCAATTTTCGTACCCCCCTTTGGCGCTTACGATTCATATGCGTTCAAGTAACAAATTAACGCTTCAGCGACGTTCAAAAGCCAGAAATTTCTCCTGAGGCGACTGTGCCGTATTCACTTCTGCATGACGGCGGCGTTGTAATAGCTCGGAGGCACCTTCGCTGCTATTTGTGCCGGGGTCACTGAGGCGGTTTGCACCCCATTCGCTTACTTGGGAAAAGCTTCAAGATGGCGAAGCCGCTGCCTTCTCCCAGTCAATTGCGGTTGCTGCTGATTCCCGGGGAAACAACCCCACCCAATAAACCACTGAATGATGCAGCAGGTACTCCACGGGAAAGCTCTGCGTGGCCGACACTCCTCCCGTTTTCTCTGCCTTACCCATCAGCGCCAGATGTGATGGTGGACTTCTTCGTCGCTGGTCAGTCCATTTACGAGATCAACAAGGGCTGCAGAAGCCTGGGCCCCTGCTCCGCGCTGCTGCCCCCAGAGGTGGTCTTGAGCGATGCATCGTTGCTGTTGGCAACTCCCATAGACCCCCTCCTCCTCCTACTGCCCCATTTGAAGCAGCACGCTGCATCCTCTTTCGTTTCTCTGATGGACGCCGTTGCTCCCACCAAACTCGAGCTGCAAATCCGCCGCAACCTGCAGGCAGTAGCACAGCACCCCGCGGTGATCCGCCGTCTGCACTTCTTTTGCGACATTCGGTTGTTGAATGGAACAAACAATGTTGCTGAGCAAGAGGTAGGGTCCGCCCGCCCCACTGCAACAGCACAGCAGGGCACTGCTTCTCCCGTCGCACCATCAGCAGCAGAGGCCTCTACGGCCGTTGGCGCTGAGGAGGAGAAGAGGCGTCTATCGGCGGCAATGGGTGAGACTCTGTTTGTTCGGTTTAATATGGATAAGACTTTGGCCTTCCTCGCAAGGAGACACGCAAAACTTGCCGCTGCAATTGCATTGCAGCGAGGGGCCGGCAGCAGCAACAACGGCGAGAATGGCAGTATTGGTTCAACTCCCGCTGACTGCAGCAGCAACACCCTCGCTTTTTCGTTGATTTCTGCCTATTTAATAGCACCAATTGCTACCGCACTCGAGCAACGCCTCAAGAAGAACGGCATCCTCCGAGCCGCCCAGCCCAGTGGGTCAGAGAAGATCTGCATGCAGAGGCCGGCGAAAGCAAGCAGCGAGAGCACTGGAGTCGCTCCCGCAGAAGCAGCAGCAGCATCAAAAGCCTCGAACTCGACTAAGACCGGGACCCGACTAAAAAGAGCAGCGGGAACTGCTGCTAACGCAAATGCCCGAAAGACACAGGCCAAGAAGAGAGCGTCCTAGGAAAGCTAAAGCTCCGCACCTGTAACCCGCTCCAAACGTTTTTGCATGCACGAACAAAGAGCGGCGAGTCGCCGCGTCTTGGCGCTACTTCATGCACCCCATTGTGCTAACTGCAGGGGGATTGCTCTGTCTTTTTTGACAGAGCTAAACACACAGCATCTGCCAGTGATGTCGTTTCTTGTCTCCGTCTGCCTTTTTTCCGCTAAAGAGCTCCGTCTCCTAATGCAGTGCAGACTCTTGTGGCAAACACAGCGGGCCCCTGGGGACGCACGTACATATCTGGCCGGTTCACATAACTGTACACGGTGATATTGATTGTCTTTCACCGCTTCCTTCGCTTGCCATGTGGACGCGTGAATATCTCTGCGTCTATTTAACAATAAAACTCCTCACAGGGCCGTCTGCTTGCTCTCTCTCGGGCTAAAGCCCCAAGCCTCACAGCGACCAAATGCATGCAGAGAGGGAACTGCGTGCAGGGAGGTTACCTTCTTGCGCGTTAGGCCATTTTTATCTCTTATCATCTCCGTAGGCGAGGGTAGAGCAGAAAAGTACGGCAGTTACTCTTTGGCTCGGGCATTTGGAGAAGCGCTGCCTCTGCCGCCCTCGGTGTCTCATCCTTGTGCTGTCTCTCCCTCTCCGTCTCTTTTTCTCTTTCACTGCACCTATTCGCATCACCGTCAGTCTTCTTTTGTTCGTTGTTAGCAATGCCAGCTGCTCTTAAAGCGAGGTTAGAGGCTACAAAGGTAGCAAACAACTGCATGCGCTTCCATGCGCACATGAACGTGAGCAGTGCCTTTCGGGCAATTGTGTCCTTAACAAACTGCAGTGTACGCACAGTCGCCTCGGCGAATATGCTGCAAGAGTATGTCCTAAAAGAGCCCGCCGCGGGGCCCTCTCTCTCGCCTAAGCACTAAGTTCCTGCTGCATAGTCCCCTGCGGCTGCTGCCTCCCGAAGGGCAACAACAGACCCCATCCGTTTGCCTCTCCTAGCGGAGGGCCCCACTGCCGAACGGGCCTGCCTTCCCCCCTAGTGCAGCGGACTGCTGAGGTGGCGGGAGGAAGCCCTGGGCTCCTGCCTGCCCCTGAGAGGAGCTTATTCCAAAAAGCTTTCCGATGTTTCTGCGCTGAGATGCCTTTGTCTCTTGTGCTTTTTTCGCTGCGTCGTAGCGGCGGCCGACGCCCCCGTCTTCGCCTCCGCCATACCGAGCAATGCTCAGGCGGACGTCTTCAGGGCTGAGGGAACAGTGCTTAAGGAAGTTAAGCAAGTCCCCTAATTCCGTGTCTCCTAACATCTCTTCAGCTGCAGTAGCAAAGACAAGCCAACATTAAACCCCAACAATACCATTTCTGGGCTTGCGTACCGTCCTCACCCACAGCGTAGAAGTGTCCCTGCTGTCTTTATGCGCCCACGGGTGAATGCAACGGGAATAAAACATTAGCTATACGCCATCCCTCCAACAGCTGAGGTTGATGCTTGCACACAAAGGGACAGGGCCAAATACACGTTCAAACAACAAGACCTAGCACCAGAGCAAATGTAAATGCAAATGCAAATAAGCACCATTAGTAACATACCAGTCCCCTCAAATGGAGAGACCCGAATAAAATTGGCCCGAAAGCGATCGTCCAGCCCCTCGTCGGTGCAAGACACATAAATCAAACGATCTAGTCGCCGCCCTAGACGCGAGAAATCCTGAGCAAAACGTACATGGAACGAACCACAACCCCAGACGTGCATGCATGCTTGGCTGGCACCGGAAGATGCACTGATCCGCATGCAATTTGTCGACGCAGAGCAGAAGAGACAAGTAACTGTCCGCCACTTGAAGTCCCCGTATCTTTCCTCGTGCTACAAGCCAAGACACGCTTGCGGTGTATACACCTGCTGCGCGATATGCACTGCACGTAAGGCGTATCCTTGCAGGAATCTTGGGGTCCTACTTTGATTTTGCGCCCGTGTCTTCGTGACATGTTGTCGGAATTCAAACAGGCAGTTACAGGGAGGCCCCACTGCTGGAGCGCAGTTTGCACAACGGGGGGCTGATCTGCATTCCAGACAACAACTTCAAAAAAGTGGGAGAGTTGATTAACCAGCGCCTCGCTGTACGGTCGCTTCCGCAACTTGTATCCCCCCGTCCGCTGCACATACACCCGCAACCAGCAAAACATCCGACTCACTACTACTGCATTGGGAACAAACTGCCTTCCACGTCAACCCCACACCCTCCCGGGCGTTAGCTCAGTGCGGACGCTGTATGCAAGAGTGCATGTATGTATGTAAGTGGGGCTGGTGCATGAACTCACGTCGTGGCCAATCTTCGCTAGAACGCCGTCGAAGTCCAGCACCAGCGTCGGTAGAAATTCGGGGTAGTTTAAGTCCTTGAAGTCAGGCAGGAGCGGCTCTTCGTCCTCCGGGAATGCGTGAGAAATCAACTGCGCCGTTCATACATCCCAGAAGCAGCATATACATCTGAGTTGTGCGAGTACAGCCCACGACGGGACCCGCCTACTGCCGGCCTGGTGGGTGGCTCTGAATATGTGGCTTGAGCCATGGTCACTCAACTAGTTGGACGGCAAACACCCAGGCCTCTCAGCCAGGTATCTCATCAGCTAGCTAGCTTGCTCCATAAGGGCTTCTTCATCTTTTAAAAAATGCAGAAACGAAGAGGACGCGTTATTTGAGAGGGGCAACCACACTGGCTACGTTTGCTGGCAAGCAGGGACCCCAACAACAGAAGCATTTGTATGGTGCACTTGCTTTGCTTAGGGTGAAACATCAATAGAAAAAAGGTTTAAACAGCAGTAGGATATTCCAATGGAGTACACACAACCCCAAGAAACAAAACCGGAGAAAGTAAGTCAACAGTGGGCTATATACACTAGTGAAGCGAAGGTGCGTTACTATCTGAGTGAACCAACTGTTAATCTGGGTAGGCGAGCCGCTAGCTAGGTGGTTGAGTACACAGCTAGCCTCCTGGTTGGATAGCCACGCAAAAACTCACGTCCTCGACTGCGCACTGCATGCGGTCGTGTGTGGCTGTCATCTGCGCGTCTGCACGCCGCCACAGATCCTTCGCGAAGTCTGAATAGACACAGACGCAGCCTGTATCTGCGCGCTCTTTCTTTCACCTCTTGGCGCTCAGGTGCGCGTACACTGCATGCAAACCAAAGCGATGTGCTCCCACCTGTGAAGCTCATGTTGTGCTGACGCATGTAGGCAAGGGCCCATATGGTGCATCCTACAGCGCCCGCTCCCCAAAAAGCTGCGCCCAAAGGAACTCCCCCCTTTAAGGGTCCTGCTGTAGTTCCATGCTGCTGCTGCTGCTGCTGTTCGTCCTGCTGCAGTACCACGCCAGAAGCTGTACCTTCAGCGGTCCCCCCTTCCGGGAGGCTCGCGGGATCGTCACTCCTCCCCTCTGGGCCCCTTCCCTTCACACCACGAACCAACCCGCCGCCGACGTCCACCTGTTGCATCTCTTCTGTTGCTGCTGCGCCCGAGGCCGCCAGCGCCCCTGTCTGCCGCGCTGCAGCAGCAACTGCTGCACGGCTGCCCGCAGCAACAGCAATGGGCACTGCTGCAGCAGCAGACGCGAAGCATGCTGAAGCAGCAGATTGAGACGCACCGGCGAAACCTGTGCTGGCGCTGCTTAGCACGCAGCTACCTCCACTGCGGGGCCCGGGCGGGCGCAAGCAAGGAACCCCAAAGGGCCCCGCACCGCATCGTAGGGAAAGAGGCCGTCGCAGCCACTCATATGGTCTCTGGGTAGCCGGATGCTGCTGAGGGTGCCAGGCAGCAGTAATAGACGTAGCAGCAGCAGCAGCAGCAGAAGCCGCAGCGCGGCCGCCGCGCCTGCATGCGCCTGTGGCGCCGCTGCACTGCATGTTGCCTGCAGCCAGAATGTCTCGAGATGTCTTCTGCGTTCCCTATCGCATAATATTGTCAGATGGAGTGTGTGGGGTGGCCACAACAGCAACAACAACAACGACGGCAATAGTAGCAACTGCAGCTCCTGCAGCCGCAGCAGCTCCGCAGCAGGGGTGTCGATGGAGCTTAGACTAAGTGGACATACCCTTTTGCGCAAGCAACCATCACAACCTCAATGAAACAATAAAGCCCAATTTCTTTCTAAACAACTAAGGGGGATGAAGACTTAGTGGCTACGGCTGCGGGGCCTCTTGGCAGCTCGGGGCTGCTGTGTCGCGGGGCCCGATTGGCGGCCGGTGTTTCGCTGCAGTGCAGTACGAAGACAAAAAGAAAACTACGTCAATTGCAATGTAGCACAATAATCGCAAAACGGCGAAAAGAATCAACAATGCGGTTGGAGTTGTTTCAGTTATCGAGAGGGTTCGGTTGCCACTTGCTGAGTCGAAGGCATACACGAATGAGACAATTAATGAGGTACAGGCGAATTATGGGAGAAAGGTGTACAGACGCATGAATGCAAATTTAACTATAAGTAAATTCACTCGTTTAATTATGAGTATATATGATAATAGCTACAAATGCCAGAGGAAGAGCACGGGTATAAGACTACACGAACTTGTAGGCCAGGCCAGAGGCGTCCTGAATCTCAGCACACACTTGAAGCCCATAGCTATTGCATCTAAATGCATGGGGAAGAGGGAGAAGCAGTTTGCCTAAGTTGCGTCCCCACGCCGCATTGGGTCGTTGACGATGGGACAGCGTGTGCGCTCTTCGAATGAGCCTTCTTTGAGCCTTAGTAGGTCAGGGCACCAGCGCCAGCTACCACTATTCACCCTTACATCCTGACTAGCTCGGCAGCAGCAGGTTCATGAGCCCCCTTCCGGCTACGCAGCATCTGCGAGCTAGTTGCAAGTAGTTGTGCGACACGGTGAGGATTAAAGCGAATTGATCCATATGTTGATGAGAAGCAATTAAGACGTGGTGTAAAGTATACTGTTTGACCTGCGTCGAAGCCCCGTTCCTGCTGTTGTGTGGATGTATGTGAACTGCCAAGTGTGCGCCTGAATGCATGCATGCATGCATAAGATCTGCCGCATGCAGCTGGCCGACACTGTGCATGCGAACTTGGCAGTAGGCCATTCGGTTGTATCGACAAGACTATGGAGGCTCTTTGCTTCCGCTGCTGGTGAGCAGGTCGTCTGTTGGGGGTTTCTTTCAAAGACAGACAGGAGAGAAACTCTTCCCCCATAAACCCACCCTAGCTCCCCAATATCCCGACCCCCAAAACCACAAGTATGGTGCTGAAGGTGGGAGGAAGGCCCCTTGATCCTCTAGTGCCTGCACTGCAGGGTGCGCCGCATGCAAGGAAAGAGAGTCCTTTGCTTCTAAACAGCGTTGCATGCGTCAGCTTCTGCAAACAGTTCCAAGACAAAACCAGGCAGAGGAATAACCTGCTGCTTAGCGATTCAACGATCAAACGCGCAAACGCAAACTCAGTTGAGAAGGAATCACAGTCGCCCGTATTGCACCTTCTTACAGAACTATTGCTGCTGCTCACCAGCAGCCACCACTGTCGGGGGAACAGAAGTAGCAGCAGGAGCAGCTGCAACGTGCAGCTTCTCATCCGTGGGTCCGCCGAGCTGTCGATACACCCCAGGCTGTACAAACTGGGGCAATGACAATTTCCCCCCTTCTGGTTCGGTAGCGACAGTCTGCTGCACTCCCTCAGAAAGGGGAGCCCCAGTCAGCGCCTTCGGTGCCTCGGGGTGTACCCCCAGACCCTGGGGAGAGGAGGCAAACTGCCACATGTTTAAGTGGAAGTCGTACAGTTGGCCCACTCGATGCACCACTGAGGCAATCACAACACCCACGTCAAATTCTGATGTATCAACCTTGCAGCCCCAATAGCACTACCTGAAATTGCATTTTATTTTGATCACCATTTTACTCGATTATAATTTAAATACATAGATCACGCCGATTTGCACAGTCGTCATGGCCTATGCTAATTCTGGGCTGGTAGGGCCATTCTTAATGATGTTGTTTCTACTGAAGACTGCTTCTACGCCACGATAAAGGCTGAAAGGGCTCTGGTGTTAGGGGTACGCGGCCACAGGCCGTTGGAAGGTGTACGGTTTAGGCTTTAGTGTTTGCGCCTCACAGAGTTCGACTGGCTTGTCTAGGGTGCTGCCATCAAGTTTACGGTGTACAGACAGCTCGTGCACCAACATGCGTTTGGCCAACAAATAAAAAATGGGAGGCAACTGCGCCCCTTCGCAGAATGCCAGTTCCTGAGATGGCACACCAGCGAGCAAACTCTCAATTTGGCAAAAGCAGAAATACCTAAAGCAAGCAACAGAACTAACAACCGTCCCAACAAACGAGTGAAGAAAAGTGAACGCAATCCAACAGGAAACAGCACAAAAGCTGAACAAACGGAAGCGCAACCACATTCAACTCCCGCTGCCTCTATGCACCGCATACAAGAACTCCGCAGCATGCACGCATGCATGCGTGCAGGTAACCTTGTACTTCTCTGCGACACCCACCTCTGGCTTGAGGAGTTTAGCGCCAGGGAAGTTTTTAATGGGTGTTGCAGGGGCCACCCCCTGGGAACCCCCTGGACCTGGGGTAGCCGCTGCAGCAGCAGAGATGGAGCCTCCCCTCTGGCCCGATCTGCCTTTGGCAGCGCTAGCGAGCTGGGACTTGGTGGAGGTGCCTGTTGCTGTTGCTGCTGCTGTTGCTGCTGCTGCTGCGGCGGCGGCATGAATGGTACCAGGCGGAGCTGTCGAAAGACACAAGTCCGGGGAACGCGTTCGCAGCTGTTCCCTCCAGGCCTTTTCTTCTTCATAAGCCTGTATTGACGCACCAATAATAAAAACAACTAAAAGTGGAAAGCTGCCTCTTCCTGCTCCCTTGTGTGCAGGCTCTTGTCAGCGGGGGTTCCAACGTTCCCCCAATAAACCCAATATGTATGCACCACCCAAACCACTTACATAACATGTCAGCTACTTAGTTAACTAGCTGCAGCTACTTATTTAGCTAGCTGGAGCGAGCAGTAGTTTCGCGTATACATGAGGAGATGCATGCGCAGCGAGTTGTGTGCAAACGGTTTAACGCCGGAAAAGGAATGCTGACTGTATGAGGAGCTTTTCGGTTGCATATAGGGTTGTGGGTTTCCATAGAGGCGAAATGTGCGACTAACTGCAGCAGGAAGCAGGTGTTCTTACGAAGAACAACGTGGGGTAAGCTCAACGACACGCACCTCCACGTCTTTCGCTGTCTTGAGACCTAAGCTGCACCACTCATGCAGAAGGGCCAGGCGATGCCGAATGCGGCGCTCTTCAATCAGCAGCTGCACAAGGCGCTCCTGCTGCTCGTCGGACTGAAACCGCGCCAAGGGTCTGCACGCGGTGTACATACAACACAAAGAACGCATCGCTGCGGGCTACATACACCCTAACCAACCATCGAGAAATCACTCAAATGACAAGAACAAACCCAACAAAGGGACGTCCAAAGTCACAGATATCCTGAGAGCAAAGGCCATAGGACTTGGAATGCTCGAACCTGCTGGTGCTGCAGAACCTGCAGTTCCTGCTGCTCCTGCTACATATATGCTGGTGACTAGCTGCTGCTCGGCATACTTGAAGAGGTTGTGGAGGTCTCTCTCCTCTTTAGTTCGCTTTTTGTCCCGCATGTGAATTGACTTTACGTCCAATAAACCCCTAAAATGCACATATCGCCGCATGCGACTATCCAGTAACACCGGCAACGGGGTACCGAATGGCATGCATGCAACGTGCATGCAGCATGCGCAAAGGCAAACTTTGTGGGGCAGCCACGAAGAGAGTACCCACGCGCATACAAACACCAACATGCACAAAGAAACAGGTACACGCGCTAAGGTCAAGCCACTACTGCATGCACTTGGTGCACGCACAAAGGAAAAAAGGGCTGCGGCGGTTGAACATGAAAGTACCTGCTGATGATCGTGTTCTTCCTGTAGATGCGTTCATCGAGCTTCGAGTTATAAATTTCGATGATCTGCAGCTTTAGCTGTCGCTCCTGCACCGCCTCGCCATCTGTAAACCGCAAACACATGCGCCACTTGCTTCAATCTTACGCACGTTCGTGCATGCACCCCTTGCGTCTTGCTCACGGTGTGTGTACACTCCACGCATGTGGTACCGGCATTTAGCCGGCCTCAAACAGCCCTGTTAACAAGCGAGCCAAACATATGGATCCAATAGCCCCCAGTTCGCTGCCATGCACTCTCCTGCTGCAGAATACGGCATCGCTACAACACCCAACTGCCAAACATAAGTGCATGCAAACGCAGGCATACCCTTGAATTCCATATCTGCCAATATAAGTTCTGCGTCATTATCAAATTCGACATCAAAGTCCCCTCGCAACGGCCAGTAGCCAACGATGGAGTGCGAAGGTTTGGGGCTCTTTCGCGCCAAAGGCGTGGGGCTTGTCGTGCCGCCAGCGGGCTCTGCAAGTGTGCATGCATAGATGCAAGGTAAGAAAGAGTTGTTTTCGCGTTTTTCTGTGTGACTAGCACAATGAAAGTCTCATGCGCAGCTGAGGAGGTGTATATACAGGGGAGCAAGCAATGTCTTTACCAGGCTCTGTCTTGGTTTGCTGCTGTGCATCCCGCAAGGCCTTCGCCTCTTCTGGGGTTAAAGCCCCGCCTTCTTTGTTTTGAATAAGAGCTGACAAATCAGGAAGAGGAGAAGTTGGAGAGTCCAAATAATAGGACAAATAGTGGCGCTCGCACTGGTCTGCTGTCTTCGGCTCCAGAGACGCAAGCGAAACGAACTCCGCCACCTCCTGGTGTATGAAGAGACAACCCAACACGCATGAATACGTGCAGGCATGCATGCAGACAAAATAACATGCATGCACGCATGCGGAAAAAAGATTTTAAGGCCAGGAGGCGATAAAGACAGTGAGGATGAAAAATAAAAGCAGGGGAAAGCGATGCTAGCTGAGACACATGAAAATGAGCGGGCAAGCACAGACAAAGAGAGTGAACAAACACGACCAGGGCAGGGTACAAAGAAGACAAAAGTAAAGACCCCCTTACGACCCAGTTGCCGAAGCCGTGCTTGCTGATGCCTTCTACAAGGAGCATTTCTTCTTCTGCTGTCCAATCCAAGCTAAAGACAGGGAAACGATTGCGCCCCACAGGGATGTATGAGTGCGAGTTCTTGTGCTGCTGCTGCTTGCTGTTGCTGCTGCCGCTGCTGCTTGTGCGGCCACTGCAGAAGCAAGACACGCACAAGTCAAAGTCCTTGCACTCCGCGCAACGAATGCGGAAAGTCCCGCTGATGTCAGCCCGACAAACGTCGCAATGAAATCTTGCATGCAGCGACAGCACTGAAGAGAGGGCCCCAGAAGCCAGCTCCCCCTGCACAGCAGGAGCAGCAGGAAGGCTACTGGAGACAGCTCCGTGCTGCTGCTGTTGTTGCTGCTGCTGTTGCTGCTGCTGTGCCACATCGACAGGAGGCAGCGATGCGGAGCACGCATCGTCAGCCCGGAGCCTCTTGGGGCTGCAGCAAACAAGGCACACGCACCACACACACTCCTGCTGATGATGATGACTCGAGATGACTCTGTTGACGCTGAAGTGGGCATTCTAATCTTAAATCCTGTATGCTACTAAATCCTACACTCGAGTTTCTGCAAACAGACATGTCCGGGCATACCTCCTTTCCGCCCGTTCTCGCTGCATTTAAGCTGCGATCTTCTTCTGTTTGTTGATTAACGAGTCTACAACAGACGGACAAACAGCCTCTCTCAGTAGCTGCGGCAGTTGAGGGCTTCTCATGACAGATGGACTCCCGAATACAATACAACATCCACACCTAAACAATAAAGCCTAGACCCTGGAGTCGTAGGACCCAAGACCCTCGATCCATAGCCCTAGACGCCAAGATGTTGCCTCGGATTCAAAGAAAGTCCCATAACGTAAACCACAGACCATCAACAGGAGGACACAGGCAGCAGACCACAGTAAAAATATGGCGGAACTCCTGAAGGACAGAGAACCCAGCGGCGGGGGCACTTCCTCAATTGTTGGACGGTTCGGCTGTCCACCAAAAATTAAAAACGGAAATCCAACTATTTATTTAGGTCGAACAAAGACAGAGGTGTTTCGCCTTCGAGAATTCCTGCAGAGGCCGTTGCATGCAGAATTTTCGGGGCTTTCGGGGACCGGTGTAGCTGCGGCAATCACACAAAACATTTAGTCACATATAGCAGTTGAAAAATAATTCGTTGCAGTATCATTTTGAATTCTCTTGTGGAAACGGCAACGCAGTGTACTCCCAGCACTGACGCTGGGCCTCATCTTCAGTGTTCTCCTGCCGTCTGAATGTGCTTGTGTCGGACCTGAGCAAAGGATAAGTGAAAAATAATGAAGAGTAACAGCAAATATTGCAATCAAAAACATTGATTGGGCAGGGGAATCGTGAGTGTGATGCCTTTTGGTTTCTGTAGTGGGATTCATGCTAGGAGTAACACTTCTATAGCTGTAACACACACTGTGCGATTGTAGCGCACAGGCAGTACAATGTGGCTCTGGCGTGATCTCTAGTAGCTCGGTGACCATAAAGAGAACGATTGTCACATTCGAGACTAGGAAAGGGAATTAATACTGCTAAGTATTCTAAGAATCGAGTACCGTAGACGGAGCTGTAGGTTAGTAGGATTACCCCCGCCAGCCGCCACTATCGGCAGTGTAGCGTACTACCTCATCACTACTTGTGTACCAGGTAGTCTCCTTGAGAGGTCTAATTGGATGGGACGTAGAATTATTACTATTATGTATATAAATACGACCCTGGGAGACAGCAGTTATAGATCAGGCTCCTGATCCCTCTTGATATCCCACGTCATCCTAAAGGTTGGGCCTGCCATGACCGGGGTCGATTCAGAACACAGCTCTATTATTCCCTGGAATTTCCTTGTTTATAATAGAGACTCGAATACGTTTTGGAAATTTAAGTATAGACCCGTGGGTGTAGTTAGGAAGCCAGGCACTATGAGGCGATAAGTAGGCACAGCTTAGGAAGGCTGCGCACTACAGCGATGCTGGCAAGCCTGTCTGAAGTACGCAGATGCCATCTAACCCAGCCGTAGTAGACAAAGTGTACCCAAGCGAGAGAGCTCAAAAACTGTCCACTATATTTGTATATGCACCCAACAAGGCTCATTTGAGCGTGCACGGGGGATTGTCCTGCAGCATGAGTTCCAGTAAGGTTCGCTGCAAGCCGTATCGGGCCGCCTTCCCTTACTCATCCACGGGGGCGTAGGCCGCTGAGCTCAGGAAGCAAGGTGATTGGGCGATGGTATATGGTAAGTTGCTTTTAAGGAACAACACTCATCTTCAGTATTTTGACTCCCTTGTGGCACGCAATAGTCCCCGGGCAAGACCAACAACCCGCGTTATAATGAGTCTAACGAAATTCCTCCTACACACACAGTCGCTGGTCGCGAAGGAGCCAAAATAATGAAGATAGGAGTTCCCTAAAACCAGCTAATAATAAAACCTCCTCACCATCATCCGGGAAGTCTTGCACGGTTACGAGACAGCCTGTGATGAGTTGCAATACAACTTGCTGCAACACACCTTGATGCCACTCAAGACGCAAGACGGGCTCACATGGAGGAGCGGTCAAGTGCTATTTGGTGCATTCGTTAAAAGGTTGGGGACTTTTCGCGAGGCAGCTGCATTTGTGCAAGCTGAATGGTTTAAGAGAGTCACGCAACGTCGTACAGACTGTTCTTGTGCTCACCGTGAGCACAGGGCCCCAGACCTCTGGGAGCATCAAGCTTCTGAGGCCCGTTGGGTTGAATACTTTTTTTTTTTTACATTTCTAGCTCCACTGACACCTTACGCACCGTCTGAAGGGCAGGATCGTAAGTGGGCCTAAGCTGCCTTCCTTCACGTCGTCATGTATTGCCGCACCCTCTGCTACGCCTCCTGCCACTGCTGAAAAGAGAGCCAGTGTGGAATGTAGGCACAGACACTGTTGCCACTCGAAAGACGTTTGTAAGGTTCATAAAAAGCATACCCGCAAATGGCTGATAACCCCCTTTTTCGCTGAGAGCGTTTGGATATTTGAGCTGAATGCCAGCTCACCTCTGGAGGAGAAAGGAAGTGAGGGCCGGGGACAAACAGCGAATCTGATCTTCAGAAACGTTAGAGTTCCTCACGGTACGATCGTCACAAGATAACAAAGTTGACAGAAGGGCTCTAATGCTGGCTTGTCAACAAGAAGCCTCCAGCTGCTAAACCCCCACTAGTCGAACTCACTCCCGTCACGGCCCCAACCGTTCGAAGGTTAATTTGATGAAAAGATATTTTAGCGCGAGTCAACAGAGAAGCGAATGATCTTGTATGCTATTCCAATGGTCAGCTTTCAAGTAGGTCGTTGAGATACAAACCCGGGCTGAAGAATAAAATAGATGGTAGCTGGCCTCCAGAAAAATCACGCAGTGAGCAGTTTCCCAAAGCCGCCGGTCGACGAAATTCTTGGTTGTTGTCAGGATTCAATAAACTGTCCACAGTTAGACTGAGCCAGCATGCTTGTGCAGGTGGTAACAAAGCCACGTGCCAGTCACAAAACTGCTTTCCATATGTGCACGCGCAAGCTAAACTACAGCTGCATGGTACAAGGGCTCGTAAATGCACCGGCCGTAGTGCAACGACAGCCCAATCACGATTATTGGACGACTATCAGTGAAGGAACAACGCGTATACACATACGTGGGATTCAGCGGGAAAAACGACAAGCACCTTCAGCGTTCTCTAGAATTGCTACGTGAGAGGCTAGAGTCCGTTGGAGCTCAAAAATTGTTGGTTTTAGATGTAACCAACCAGATAGAGGAGCTCTACACCTATATGCGGTATGGTAGGAGGCGAAGGAATACGGAGCTAGAAGTACGTGCACGGGACTATGAAATACGATCGTCGTCAGCCAGGCTCACCAAAATCAACTTGACTTCAGCGGATTTACACGCATTCTTGGGGAGGGAGTGCTAGCAACCTAAGAAGCTCTAAAGGTGTAGTTCCCATATCACTGACGTGGCGTTCATTTTGTCTTTACTGCCGACATGGAGATGCCACCATGGCATTAATATCGGTGTTCTCAATCGCTTATCCGGCTCTTCTACTATTGGCTAGGGTCTCTACTCCACCTACAGCAAGGTGGGCGCACCCTTTGATATATGATGAGACATTTGTTGGCGTTGTGCTTTGTGGTTGAGCTTTGTTTTTCTGCTGGTCGAATCTAGTCCTCGCATTTGCATTGGCGGCCTGCGCCAGCATTTGGTTAACAGCATACTTCCTTCCCCAGGGAAGCAAAGCTGAGCCGCAAGGACCTGTAGCAGGCCCAAGCTGGCTCAGTCCTACGAGACTGGCAGTAGCAGCGGTAAATAGAGGGAGTGTCTGCAGATGTCTCACATCCATTTTGTCTTTGCTATTTCATATGTTATCCTTCGTCGAATCTTCAAGCGCATCTGGTTCCTAACTTTCCTTCCGCTCGTGACATGTTCAATGAGCAGAGACACGAAGGTCTCTGGCATTTGTATTTGAGATGACTGGGGAAACAGAAGTAGCAAAATTTGCTTTAAGTTTGTGTACATACTGCTCCTTAAGAGCAGGGTGGGCAGTGACGGGCGAGCCATTGATAGGTACCTGCGGCAGTTGCTCTGGATACATGAGAAGGGTTGTTGAGTATATTTGCCTGCAGATGCAAATCTTCCAGCGGCAGCTGTTGTGGTGCAGCGTGAAAACACTCAAGGAAAAATGGCTCCTGTACCGACAACCTTTCCTCTTTTCCGTGGAGTTGTGCATGCTGCAGTGCAGCAAAATAAAAGCATAATAAGAGTTTCTCAACAGCCGCGTCCCCTCATCGTCCTCAGCTCCTGGAGCCGCAGAATTGGAGGCAGCCTGCAACGACTTGCGGTATGCATGATGACTGTAGATCAGTCCCGAAGACTTTTTCTTGTGTACCGGTTTTGCTGAATAAGGGCTCTTGTGCCAACTTCAGATAGAATTCAGATAGAATGGCATATGACGGGTATATTATCCTACACCACGTCTGCGCATACAGCCGAGGGAGGCCCCCGTAGCTGTTTTCTCGGGACGCTTAGAGATTGGAGATGGAGTCGGCTGCATATAAATACTATTACCAAATAGTTTTTAACCATTTTGCTGCTCGTGAAGGTCATTCTCTACAGTAGAAGTCCCGCAGTACACCGTAGACAAGCAAACTCAAGCCCACCCCTGATTTTATCAACTAGAGCCGTATACAACCAGTAAACACTACCTTGGTCCTCAGCAGTTAGCTTGGATATAGGGATATATACGTGTAACACCAACGTAGCATTACCTTCCAACATACTACCGTCACTGGCGGTTTGTACAGACACCGAAACCCGTACGTAGTCCCCGAATTCCCCCCAAACTGCGTCTTTGAACCAAATTGCTATTATGAAGAGGCCTAAAGACATTGGAGAATTTATAAATAAACACACCGCCAAAATTTATGAGCTGCATGCCTCCGTGCTACGGAGGTTGTTACAGGGCCCACCAAAGGCCTCTCAGGGTTCTGGGGCCCCCAACGGCACATGGACCGTCACACAGGGCTGTGCGTAGCGCTGCTTTTTTATTGAAGTTAATTAAGTAGTGTTTAATGGAAGAGAATAGAAAGATAAATGCTAGAT